CTCTTTTTTCTTGATCTTCTTGTCATCAACCATTCCCTCACTAGCAGCGTCCGCGATACCGACCTTAATAATTTTGAATCTTTGATCACAGGTGGGGTTTTTGTTTATGCCCATAACTAACCTGAAATTTAACTTTGTTTTGATTTTAAAACCCCGCAGTAGAATTGAGATATATGTGTACTTATATGCAATGTTTTAAAACCCAGCCCGGCCTGGCCGGTTTAACCGAGACCCGGAAGCTTTACCGGGTCGGGTTTACATTTTTCCTATTCATCCAAAACCTTAGAATTTGGGATGATGATCGGCGAATAATTTAAGGTCGGGATGTTGGGGCTTTTGAAGAGAAAGTGCCGGTGAGTGCAATGGTGGCGATGAAGTTGATTTTCGATGAGTAAATCGATCTGAAATCGAAAAAAATGGTAGTTGCAACAATCGGCTTTTTCCGGCGATTGGCGAGGCGAACAAGGGTGGGGTGAGGTGGGTTTTGGTCGGGAGGAAGAGAGGAGTAGTTTCGGGGTGATAAGGAGGGTTGTTGATGTTGGCGTTGGTGAGATCTGATTTGGAATGCCGATGTCGATTTCGGTGACATTTGGTTGAAATTGAATTGATATCAGCCATATCTTGGGTAGAATTTTAGGGGAATGGGCTTAAGGGACGATTGGGGTTCCATTTGGGGTGTCACTACTGCCAACCAGTCGTCGGCCGATTTGTATTTTGGGTGTGTTTGCAAAATTTCAAACCTATAAGGACTTAACGATTTAGAGGTGTATTTGCTAAATTTTAAAAAATTTTGTCAGCTGGTTTGACCACCGGTCAACCCAGGACCTGACAACTTTATCGGGTTTCACCCCAGGTTGGATTTTAAAACATTGCTTATATAGTTGCTATCAATGTTTAGTATTTCTGATATTTATTTTCAGGATGTGTAGGCTCTTAATCAAATGGGAGTTTATTAAAAAGACATTTGGAGTTAAAATTTAATTAAAAGACTATGTAGTTTGTAAATGTTAACTAAATAGCCTTATTTTTTATTAAGCTTAATTAAATATGATTAGGGGTTAATTAGGATTAATGAATAATTGTGTAATCTTTTAAAAATTATAATATGTCCCCAAAGAGTCGAAATTGTCGCAAATAAACCCAAACACCTTCTTCTTCTTCCTCCCGTCACATTAACGCATTCCTCCGCCATTAACATCTTCTCCAACACAGATCCTTCTCCTCCCATATGATGCTATTAGAGACATTGAGGCAACTAGAGGTATATGTCATTCTTCCATTTTCAAATATTAGTGCCATAACTTAATGATTAAAAACAATTGTCCAAGGATACTGAATGCAAGCAACACTTTATTCTTTTCATTCTATCATCTGGAAGGATACAGATAAGCATCTGACATTATTACTGGATGATTTTTCTGTTTACTATTCTCTTACATGGAACTTCTGTTTGTAATGTAGCTTGTTCGTCATTGATTTTTATGAGATTCCTTACTTAAATATAGCTAGAGCCTGTATGGTTTCTGTTTTCAGATTTTTCTTTTAACTTTTCATAGACCAAGGTTATAGCACCAAGCACTTGGTTAAGTCCCATTTTTTTTCATCCATTTTGTTGATGGTGAATATTGAATTCTGAGCTCAGTCATCATTATTGTCTTGTATTGATTAATTAACATTAATTGTTTATTGGCATGGTTTGTTATTGGTTTAAGTGCTTCAAGAACTAAAGGAATCAAAATCCACCCAGCCAGTGTGAAGGATGTCATTACCTGCCAAGACTATCTGGTGAAAAGACCACAGGTGCAAGCTGGTAGGCCTGTGTTAGTGTAGCATAGTATAGGGAGGAAAGAGAGCTAGATGGTGGATTGATTTAGCTGAAAATATAACAAAATCTTGATGGTCCTACCTTGGAGTGGATGAGGAAATGGAAACAGGCCCCATGTTTTGACATAAAGTTCTTCTTGTGTGGACTCAAGTTGTTGCTAACACCCTTGCACTTCGGCCCCCCCGTATTACTCTTGTCATGTTGTTGTACAGACATGGTGATACTTTGCCATGCTTCAAAAAATCTAAAGATGATGATTTGATTTGATTACGTGACTTAATGAGTTTGGCCATAAATGTTGCATCATATTTAACTGCATACTTCTAGTTGTGAGTTTTCATCGTTTATGAATCTATACTTCTTTGGTATTTGAGCCTGGTATCTCAATTATTTTTCCTCAAATTTACTTTTATTTTTACTGCTATTTAAATACTATGGCTAATTTCTCCTTTCAAAATGTTTTGCAGACGGAGAAAATAGAGCTGGAAGCTACTGTAGTGGATGAGACAAAGGAACGTGATTCTTTCTGTGGACAAGGGAATAGAGATATAGTGGTTAGCCATGCTTTTTAACTTCTACAGTCACAAAATTTGTTAAACGAATAATTTTTTTACCTCATTTCGATTTCATATCATCTTCATGTTGCAGATTTCTATTCTGTCATGTCTGAGGGCAGTGGAACTGATTCTGAAGCAGATAATGAAAGTCTGATGAGCAGATGTTGACAGATAAGATGATGGAACATTTTTGATACCAATGATTTTTTGTCTTCAGAGGCTCTAAGAAGTGCTTCTTATCGGAGTAGGGAAGCCAGGAAATGCTTGTATATATGACAAAGAATTATTCATTCTGATCGTTTACGAGGTGTTAGAATGAAATCAGGCTAATAAAATATCCATATGTTAAAAGAAGGGATAATTTGCCAGAACCAAAGGAAAAAGAGAAGCCGGTTGGCCTGTGGTCAATTATCAGGACAATATTGAAAGATTTATCTGGAGTATGTCTCCCTGTTTATTTTAATGAACCACTTTCTTCACTGCAGAAGTGCTTTGAGGATTTGGAATATTCATACTTGGTTGATCTGGCGTTGGAATGGGGAAGCAGGTCAGGTCCTCAGCTTTGCTTTCTTTTGTGGCAAGCAGTTTTAAAGCATGATCTGCTAATTACATATTATTCCAGATAGTTCATGTGGAAGCTTGAGTCCTGAAAGAACTAGTTACCTGCCCTCCATAGTGCTGTATCATTGACCCCTTTAACTGTTCACTTGGCATTTGTAAAACTCTTTTATGGTAACATTTTTTATTTATTATTATTTTTTTTTCTTTCTTGATGGGGTCTTGAGGATGGATCTAGTATTATTCCCTAAGCATTGGTTCACAGGTCATGCTAGTTTCCAACTTTTAGTTGCTGATATGGTCCTAAGATTTGAATCCCTCAACTCCCCTTCGGGAGGAGGCACCTGGTCCTCTGGCCAAGGACTTGTGGTCCATGTGAACATGTATAAGAAGTTAGAAAGAATGTTATTATGTGATCTACTGTTCAGCTCCAAACATTCTTTTCTTATATCAAGGAATCGGCCTTCAACATATTGTCTGTTTCACTAGAGTTTGGAGCTTCTTAGGCACCACCTATGGAGCTTCTTTATGTACCACCTACATGCTCATATGGTTGTGCATGTGATAAAAACTAGTCATTTGTGGACTGTGGGTAGATTAGGCCATTACCAGTGGCTGGTGTTGGGTTATAGTCTTAACAATACATTCTGTTTTTGAAAATAAGCCTATCTGGACAGTTTATATAAGTTTCATGAAGATATGCCAGCATTTTTTCTAATAAGAAAAAAAAGAGAGGGACCAGCCAGATTTCTGGAATAAATTTTCGTCTTTGTGCATTTAAATTGAGTGTTGAAATGATCTATATTCCATGTTCTGACATGAGTGGTTTACACGGTTCAGGGAAATGACTTGATGAGAATTTTAAACATTGCGGCTTTTGCTGTATCTGGCTATGCATCAACAGAAGGCCGGCAGTGCAAACCCTCAATCCTCTTCTTGGGGAGACCTATGAAGCTGACTATCCAGATAAGGACTTCACTTTTTTTCTGAAAAGGTATTTGCTTCTCTCTTCCACTGTGTTCTGAATTTGACCCAACAATGTCAGAAAGATAAAGTTGAAGCCACCTTGTTGCCTCATTCTTGTTCATGAAGTGACACTTTTTCAGTTGATTACTGGATATCTAACAAGTTTCTTAAATTTCAGGTGAGTCACCATCCGATGATTGTTGCTTGTCACTGGTGAGGGAAGAGGCTGAAATTCTGGGCAGACTCTAATCTCAAAGGCAAATTTTGGGGGCGGTCTATTCAGCTGACCCTGTTGGTGCCCTAACCCTGCAGTTTGAAGATGGTGAGACCTTCCAGTGAGCAAGGTCACCACAATCCATATACAATATCATACTTGGGAAAATTTATTGTGATCACTATGGTACCATGCGTATTAAGGGCAGTGGGAACTACTCCTGCAAACTCAAGTTCAGGAACAGTCTATTTAGACCGAAATCCCCATCAGGTTATTTCTTTACTTTTGTTGGTGCATAATAGTTATCATTTTTATAAAGATGTTAGAGCTCAACTGTTGTTTCCTCTCTGTCGTTATCTCACAACCCAAACGCCCTCAATCAACATCAGGATCAGTCAATTATAACCAAAAGGAACAACAACAAGGGGTAAAACCGTCATTCAAACTAAGCCATCACAGCTAGGGCCACCGTCCGAAAAGGCTTCCTTCCCCTCACCCAACGGACACGCTCTTCCCCACCTCTCCTAACCCAATTACGCCCTGTGCACTAATGCGCACGTTAACTGTCTCCCCACTGGCCACTACCATATATGGTCCATATCCAAATACCCAAATTCCAAATTAATTAATATCTCATTATTTTCATATTAAATTAGCATTGATAAAATTTTAAAGTCGGTACTTAATTTAAAAAATAGGAAAAAATAAAAAAAGTTTTATATATAAATTTGCTTCTTGGATGTTATTTATTAACATGGGAGGCCAACACTGACTTAATACTGAATTCTACTGACCACTGCCTTCAATGGATCTGTATGCGCACTGCACCACACTTATAAATCGTAACTGCCTCGCACTTTGAATTGATCTCATCCTCCATTTCACTTTTTTATCTTTATGTCATTTCCGAAACGAAACCGTTTCGTTTCACTCTCCATCACTTGTACCACCACCTCCGATCGGGTCTCACATTCCCGACCCGACCCGACCCTTTTCCTTCCTCTCACTGTATTCATCCTCAGCTTCTAGTAATAACAATAAATTTATGTGATCGATCTTTGATCTGATAGTGAATGCTTTGGTGCTTAAGATGAATCCTCTATGCTGCATTGCTCCCGTTTCAATCGATCGGGACCGGTCCAACCCGGTGGTTGCCAAATCGACGAGTCATTGTCAGCTGGGGCTTGAAACGGCTGCCGTTAAGACCGTAAAACCGAGTTTTTCAACTCAGGTATCTTCAGTTGGCACAGATTCCGATAAATCTTCAGCGGCTAATGCTGTTGTTGAGTTAGTGTCGGAATCTCGAGACTCGAAACTGTACAGTGGAAATGGCGGAGGCGTGAGTGCCAGCGTGGCAGGGATTTTGTACAAGTGGGTGAATTACGGTAAAGGATGGAGATCAAGATGGTTCGTGCTTGAAGACGGAGTGCTATCATATTACAAGATTCATGGACCGGATAAAATTTTGATGAGTCCAGCTAGAGACAACAGTGTAAAAGTGATCGGAGAAGATTCGGTTAGGTTTTTGAGAAAGGCTAACTGGAACTGTTATCGTCCGGGCTCGGCAGCTCGGCAGTGCAAACCATTCGGTGAAATTCATTTGAAGGTTTCTTTTCTCTTGTTTTTGTTTGTTTGGTTTGCAGCGTAGATTTTTATTATTTCGTTGACTTGTTATTGTTATATTTACACTTTAATTGTCTTTGATGTTATTTTAAGTAAATCGAGCGTGTCTAATGAGTGGCATATTTTTTAATACGTCTTTTTTCTTCACCACTTGTTTGGGTTATTTTGTCTCTTTGCTTATTTTCTTTATGTGTTGTGTAAGTTAATGGCTTAGCATGCGGTTAAGTTCTGGAGATTATTGGGTGGAATCCTTTATCTAATTTAAAATGTTGCTGATGATATATGGATGTTTTTGTTTTGTTGTGTGAAAGATTGTCTTTGGTAATCTACTTATGAGATATTACCTATTAAAGTGTTACAAACGGATTGTGTTTAAAGAATTTGGGTATTGTTGGAGAGGGAGAGAAACCACTACAAATTCAAGTGTCTAGACCTGATTATGTGTCTCTGAGTATGTTGTTCTCATTGATATTTTGAGGTCTAGAGTAATCATAAAGTGGTAAATGCTTGTATTATTTGAATAAGTGAAGTAAAAGATAGTTTTGGCTGTTTCATCTTGCCCCCCTGAAGATTTATGTCATGCTAATGCACCAAACTTCACTTTGTTCTTTTTGCAAATTATAATGATTTCTGGCTGACATAACAATTGATAGTTGTATTAATATTTAAATTTTTCTGGAATCATTCTGTGATGACCAATGATAATTCGGGAAATAATGGTGTCCCTCTGTTCTTGCTAAACTTCTGGCAGGACTGGCATAAACAGAGCATGGTAGCATATTTTGTTATATATAATGATGGAATTACCAGTCATATTTTCAATTCCCGTGCAGTAAATATTTGCTACTGGTTTCCATTAAACATCTTCTTTTTGATTAGCAGCTAATTCTTTAGTATTATGGTGCATAGGTATCTTCAGTCCGTGCAAGCAAGTCAGATGACAAAAGGCTTACCATATTCACAGGAACAAAGACACTTCACTTGCGTTGTATATCTAGAGAGGACAGAGCTCTGTGGATTGAGGCACTGCAGGCTGCTAAAGATCTTTTCCCTAGAGGGTTGACAAGCGTTGATTTTTCACTGTCTGAAGATATTGTTGTTTCAACTGAGAAACTACGGCTACGATTATTGCAAGAAGGCGTTGGCGAGGCAGCTATTAAAGACTGCGAGTCTATTATGCTCTCTGAACACTCTGTGCTGCAAAACCAGCTAAATTCTCTTCAACGTAAACATATGATGCTATTAGAGACATTGAGGCAACTAGAGGTATATGTCATTCTTCCATTTTCAAATATTAGTGCCATATACTTCAATGATTAAAAACAATTTGTCCAAGGATACTGAATGCAAGCAACACTTTATTCTTTTTCATTCTATCATCTGGAAGGATACAGATAAGCATCTGACATTAATTACTGGATGAACTTTTTTCTGTTTTACTATTCTCTTACATGGAACTTCTGTTTGTAATGTAGCTTGTTCGTCATTGATTTTTATGAGATTCCTTACTTAAAATATAGCTAGAGCCTGTATGGTTTCTGTTTTCAGATTTTTCTTTTAACTTTTTCATAGACCAAGGTTATAGCACCAAGCACTTGGTTAAGTCCCAATTTTCTTTTTCATCCATTTTGTTGATGGTGAATATTGAATTCTGAGCTCAGTCATCATTATTTGTCTTGTATTGATTAATTAACATTAATTGTTTGATTGGCATGGTTATGTTATTGGTTTAAGTGCTTCAAGAACTAAAGGAATCAAAATCCACCCAAGCCAGTGTGAAGGATGTCATTACCTGCCAAGACTATCTGGTGAAAAGACCACAGGTGCAAGCATGGTAGGCCTGTGTTAGTGTAGCATAGTATAGGGAGGAAAGAGAGCTAGATGGTGGATATGAATTTTAGCTGAAAATATAACAAAAATCTTGATGGTCCTACCTTGGAGTGGATGAGGAAATGGAAACAGGCCCCATGTTGTTGACATAAAGTTCTTCTTGTGTGGACTCAAGTTGTTGCTTAAACCCCCCCTTGCACCTTCCCGGCCCCCCCCCCCCCCGCCCCCCCTATTACATCTTGGTCATGTTGTTTGGATACAGAACACTGGTGATGACTTTGCCATGCTTTCAAAAAATCTAAAGAGTGATGATTTTGATTTTGATTACGTGACTTAATGAGTTTGGCCATAAATGTTGCATCATTATTTAACTGCATACTTCTAGTGCTTGAGTTTTCATCGGTTTATGAATCTATACTTCTTTGGTATTTGAGCCTGTGTTATCTCAATTATTTTTCCTCAAATTTACTTTTTATTTTTACTGCTATTTAAATACTATGGCTAATTTCTCCTTTCAAAATTGTTTTGCAGACGGAGAAAATAGAGCTGGAAGCTACTGTAGTGGATGAGACAAAGGAACGTGATTCTTTCTGTGGACAAGGGAATAGAAGATATAGTGGTTAGCCATGCTTTTTAACTTCTACAGTCACAAGAATTTGTTAAACTGAATAATTTTTTTACCTCATTTCGATTTCATATCATCTTCATGTTGCAGATTTCTATTCTGTCATGTCTGAGGGCAGTGGAACTGATTCTGAAGCAGATAATGAAAGTCGTGATGGAGCAGATGTTGAAACAGATGAAGATGATGGAACATTTTTTGATACCAATGATTTTTTGTCTTCAGAGGCTCTAAGAAGTGCTTCTTATCGGAGTAGGGAAGCTTCAGGAAATGCTTGTATATATGACAAAGAATTATTCATTTCTGATCGTTTACGAGGTGTTGAGAATGAAATCAGGCTAATAAAATATCCATATGTTAAAAGAAGGGATAATTTGCCAGAACCAAAGGAAAAAGAGAAGCCGGTTGGCCTGTGGTCAATTATCAAGGACAATATTGGAAAGGATTTATCTGGAGTATGTCTCCCTGTTTATTTTAATGAACCACTTTCTTCACTGCAGAAGTGCTTTGAGGATTTGGAATATTCATACTTGGTTGATCTGGCGTTGGAATGGGGAAAGCAGGTCAGGTCCTCAGCTTTGCTTTCTTTTGTGGCAAAGCAGTTTTAAAGCATGATCTGCTAATTACATATTATTCCAGATAGTTCATGTGGAAGCTTGAGTCCTGAAAGAACTAGTTACCTGCCCTCCATAGTGCTGTATCATTGACCCCTTTAACTGTTCACTTGGCATTTGTAAAACTCTTTTATGGTAACATTTTTTATTTATTATTATTTTTTTTTCTTTCTTGATGGGGTCTTGAGGATGGATCTAGTAGTTATTCCCTAAGCATTGGTTCACAGGTCATGCTAGTTTCCAACTTTTAGTTGCTGATATGGGGTCCTTGAAGATTTGAATCCCTCAACTCCCCTTCGGGAGGAGGCACCTGGTCCTCTGGCCAAGGACTTGTGGTCCATGTGAACCATGTATAAGAAGGTAGAAAGAAATGTTATTATGTGATCTACTGTTCAGCTCCAAACATTCTTTTCTTATATCAAGGAATCGGCCTTCAACATATTGTCTGTTTCACTAGAGTTTGGAGCTTCTTTAGGCACCACCTAATTGGAGCTTCTTTATGTACCACCTACATGCTCATATGGTTGTGCATTGTGATAAAAACTAGTCATTTGTGGACTGTGGGTAGATTAGGCCATTACCAGTGGCTGGTGTTGGGTTATGAGTCTTATCAATACATTCTGTTTTTGAAAAATAAGCCTATCTGGACAGTTTATATAAGTTTCATGAAGATATTGCCAGCATTTTTTCTAATAAGAAAAAAAAGAGAGGGACCAGCCAGATTTGCTGGAATAAATTTTCGTCTTTGTTGCATTTATAATTGAGTGTTGAAATGATCTATATTCCATGTTCTGACATGAGTGGTTTACACGGTTCAGGGAAATGACTTGATGAGAATTTTAAACATTGCGGCTTTTGCTGTATCTGGCTATGCATCAACAGAAGGCCGGCAGTGCAAACCCTTCAATCCTCTTCTTGGGGAGACCTATGAAGCTGACTATCCAGATAAAGGACTTCACTTTTTTTCTGAAAAGGTATTTGCTTCTCTCTTCCACTGTGTTCTGAATTTTGACCCAACAATGTCGGAAAGATAAAGTTGAAGCCACTCATTTGTTGCCTCATTCTTGTTCATGAAGTGACACTTTTTCAGTTGATTACTGGATATCTAACAAGTTTCTTAAATTTCAGGTGAGTCACCATCCGATGATTGTTGCTTGTCACTGTGAGGGAAGAGGCTGGAAATTCTGGGCAGACTCTAATCTCAAAGGCAAATTTTGGGGGCGGTCTATTCAGCTCGACCCTGTTGGTGCCCTAACCCTGCAGTTTGAAGATGGTGAGACCTTCCAGTGGAGCAAGGTCACCACATCCATATACAATATCATACTTGGGAAAATTTATTGTGATCACTATGGTACCATGCGTATTAAGGGCAGTGGGAACTACTCCTGCAAACTCAAGTTCAAGGAACAGTCCATTATAGACCGAAATCCCCATCAGGTAATTTCTTTACTTTTGTTGGTGCATAATAGTTATCATTTTTTTATAAAGATGTTAGAGCTCAACTGTTGTTTCCTCTCTGTCGTTATCTCAACAAAAAAACATATTGTTGGCACCTTAAATTTGTCATAAATTCTAGATGATTGTCTATTAAAAAGGATTTATGATCTATCACGTGATGCCCTCATTCTTTTTATCATCTTAAAATTTTGTTGGCATATTGGTTCTTTTCCTGGTATAGTACTTTCTCTTATCAAATTTTAACTATCGTATACTTCCTGTAAATGAAGAGGGTTATTTCCATCTTTCTCTTAACCCTCAAGGCCTTAACTATCATAAAATACTGCAGTGTCCTTTCAGGAAATTCATATGTGCTTCCATTTCTGTAGTATGGTATTGAAGTAGAAAATTTGGTGCTCTCCTTTAAAATATTGCTCAATTTTCCTACAAAACATGTGTACAAATAACCAGAATGAGGAAATCTCAAGTGCATAGATGATTGGCCACTCTTGAGATGAGACAAAACTGAAACTATAAATGAGCATGTATATGTGCATACAGTGGTAATTATGTTATTCCTTTCAGTATTTGGATAAGTTTTTCTGATGATGAATCTAGGTTCACGGATTTGTGCAAGACAATAGAACTGGAGAGAAGGTGGCGATGTTGGTGGGTAAGTGGGATGAAGCTATGTACTATGTGCTGGGAGATCCAACTACGAAACCGAAGGGGTATGATCCAATGACTGAAGCTGTGTTGCTGTGGGAAAGAGGCAAATCTGTTACCAAGACAAGATACAATCTCACTCCGTTTGCAATGTCCTTGAATGAACTGACCCCTGGCTTATTGGATAAATTGCCTCCAACTGATTCAAGGCTGAGGCCAGATCAGAGACACTTAGAGAATGGAGAATATGAGTTGGCAAATGCTGAAAAGCTGAGGCTGGAACATTTGCAGAGACAGGTATGTCTTAAAGATCTTCTTTTGTCCTTAACATAGATATTGAGTCTGACGAAGTTACAAAGTTATATGTGATTTTGTCTGGACTAGAGATACTGTTATACTTGGAGATTTATAACTGCCCTTTTATTACCTCTGTTAACTTTTAATTCTTTGTTTTTAACTGTGTAAACTTTAAGCTTTTTACTCTTCGCCGCAATCTTTTCTGAACGATCTTTTGAGCAAAATTAGTGTACCATTTGATACAGGCAAGGAAGATGCAAGAGAGGGGATGGCAGCCAAGATGGTTTCAGAAGGATGAAGATGGTTGCTATCGTTACAAAGGTGGGTACTGGGAAGAAAGAGAAAAGAAGAATTGGGATGGAATTCCTGATATATTTGGCCAGAGCAGCGATTCACCTTCGATACTGGTGGAAGAGTAGAGGCTGTCTTTGGGCTCTCAGGGCTCTTTAAGTAATTGCTGTCTTTCTGTTTCCCTTGTTTTTCTGAGCCCTCCCTTCAGTCTCTTCTACTAATATCAACTTAAAAATCAAAATGTGAGTTCAGATGTAGCTTTTGTTAAGTTATAAAGGAGCTTCCTTGAGGTGTATTTCTCTTTTTTCTTGATCTTCTTGCCATCAAACATTCCCTCACTAGCAGCCTGCACGATACTGACCTTAATAATTTTGAATCTTTGATCACAGGTGGGGTTTTTGTTTATACCCATAACTAACCTGAAATTTAACTTTGTTTTGATTTTAAACCCCCGCAGTAGAATTGAGATATATATGTACTTATATACAATGTTTTAAAACCCAGCTCGGCTCGGCCGATTTGATCGAGACTTGGAAGCTTTACTGGGTCGGGTTTATATTTTTCCTATTCATCCAAAACCCTAGAATTTGAGATGATGATTGACGAATAATTGAAAGTCGAGGTGTTGCGGCTTTTGAAGAGAGAGTGCCGGTGAGTGCAATGCTGGCGACGAAGTTGATTTCCAATGAGTAAATCGATCTGAAATTGAAAAAAATGGTAGTTGCAACAATCGGCTTTTTCCGATGATTGGCGAGACGAACAAGGCTGGGGTGAGGTGAGTTTTGGTCGGGAGGAACAGAGGCGTAGTTTCGGGGTGATGGGGAGGGTTGTTGATTCTGGCGTTGGTGAGATCTGATTTGGAATGTCGACATCGATTTCGGTGACATTTGGTTGAAATTGAATTGATATCGATCATATCTTGGGTAGAATTTTAGGAGAATGGGTTCAAAGGACGATTGGGGTTCCATTTGGGGTGTCACTACTGTCAACCAGTCGTCGATCGATTTGTATTTGGGGTGTGTTTGTAAAATTTTAAACCTATAAGAACTTAACATATTTAAGGGTGTATTTACTAAATTTTAAAAAATTTTGTCAGTCGATCTGACCACCGGTCAACCGACCCGACAACATTACGGGCTTCACCTCAGATTGGATTTTAAAACATTGCTTATATAGTCACTGTCAATGTTTAGTATTTCTGATATTTATTTTCAGGATGTGCAGGCTCCTAATCAATGCCTTTATACAAATTATTATAAGGGTATCAAGAAGTTAGCTAATTCTCTTGGATGAGCTGAAATTAATGTTTTTCTTCATGAAATAAAACAAAAATACTTTTATGCTCGGATGATATTTCATAATGTAAGAATCATAAGATCTATATATTATTAACTCAAAATTTGAAGTGACAATACACTTGTAAGGGTGAAAAGAAAAAGAAAAAGCAAATCAAGTTGATGTAGATGATCATTTCCAGGCTTTCTTCCCCCGAAATTGTTTGCCAGATCGGTTGTGTTTTCTCTTCTTCTCCTCGCGAGATTTTGCCACCTTGGCTCTTTTGGCAGCAAGGGGCATAGCCTTCTTGTGTTCCTTCTGACGATTGCTCAAACCACCCGTCTGTGCACAACATTTATAAAAACATGACACACAATGTGCATAAAATAAAATGTAAACGGAAGCAAATATGAAGTGACTTTCAAATTTCACACTTCAGTCACATTTTAAACTAAGAAAAGCAGGAAACTTGCAATACAAAATTTCAGTACTTTAGCTAATATTAATAACTAGGGTCCGTATTAGTATTCCCAAAGAAGTTAAACAATAAAATTGCAAAAACTCACAATATTATCCAACGTTTTTTAAACCCCTTAAATTTGTTAATTTAATTAAATACCCCTAAATATTTTTTTTTCAAAATCACAAAAACACCCCTAAACCTACATTATATCAGATTCCGGCCATCACCGTCGGATATAATGGCGCACTATCGGCTAAATCTAATCGGTAGTGCACCGATCTAGCCTTTTTCGGCCAGATCCATGGTGGATCTGGCTGAAAAATGCTAGATCTGACCATTGACGTCCAGATCTGACCACATTTGCTTGTCAACGACGGTCAAAGATACGGTCGTCGTTGATGGTCAACGACGATCATATGTTGGCTGTCGTTGACGTCTAGTTAGATTTGGCCTTTTCCGGCCAGATCCAACTACCGACTAGATTTAGCCGGTGCACGATCTGGCCGACAAAGGGCATATCGACGCACGACCGGCAAGATCCAGCCGATCATACGCTGATACTACAACTCCGACCACCCTCCGGCAGTGGTGGCCAGCTGTGATTATTCAATGGGTGGATTGGGGGTGTTTTTGTTAACTTTCAAAGTTTTATTATAGGGGTGTTTAGTAAATAAACAAACATAAGGGGTATTTTTATTAATTTATAAATCCTACATCGTAATACCCGCCCAATTCAACTTTTTTTAACTTTTTTCAAAAAACTTTTCTAAAAAATGCAAAAAAGTGAACCACACGGAGCCTTAGTATTTTGGATAGTATTTTTGGAAAAGTAAGGCTCCGTTTGGTTCACTTTTTTGCATTTTTTAGAAAAGTTTTTTGAAAAAAGTTAAAAAAAGTTGAATTGGAAGGGTATTACGATGTAGGATTTGAAAATTAATAAAAATACCCCCTATGTTTGTTTATTTACTAAACACCCCTATAATAAAACTTTGAAAGTTAACAAAAACACCCCTAACCCACCCATTGAATAATCACAGTCGGCCCCCACCGTCGGAGTCGCTGTATCGACGCCTGATCGACTGGATCTTGCCGGTCATGCGCCGATATGACCTTTGCCGGCCAGATCTACGGCTAGATCTAGTCTTTGACGGCCAGATCTGACCGCATTTGCTCGTCAACGACGACCATATGTTGGCCGTCGTTGACGTCTGGTTATGGCCAAAGATCTGACTGTCAACGACTAGATCTTTGGCCTTAGATCTGGCCTTTTCTGGCCAACTTCCGACAGTGGTGGCCGGAATCTGGTATAATGAGGGTTTAAAGGTGTTTTTGCAATTTCGAAAAAAAATATTTAGGGACATTTAATTAAATTAACAAATTTAGGGGGTTTAAAAAAAGTTGAATAATGTTGGATAATATTACGAGTTTTTGCAATTTTACTGTTTAACTATTTTGGGAATACTAATAATAGTATTCCCAAAAACGAAACAAACGGAGCCTAAGAGTTGGGTGGGAATAAGGAGGTAAGATTTAAAAATTAATAAAAACACCCCATTGGGTTTGTTAATTTACTAAACACCCCTGTAATAAAACATTAAAAATTAACAAAAACACCCCCACCCACCCATTAAATATCGACAGCCGACCACCACCGCCGAAGGGTGGCCGAAGTCTCCGTATTGGCGCACGACCGATATGGCCTTTTCCAACCAAATCCACAGTGAATTTGGCCAGAAAATGCTAGATCTACGACTAGATCTAGCCATTGACAGCCAAATCTGGTCATCAACGACAGCCATATCTTGGCCATCGTTGACGACTAGCTACGGTCAAAGATCTGGCCATGGTGGATCTAGCCAAAGAAGGCTAGATCGGCGGCGTACTACCAACTGAATCTGATTGGAATCTGACAAATGTGGGTGGGTGAGGCTGTTTTTGTCAATTTCTAAACTTTTTTTTTTGGGGGGTTTAGTTAACAAACCTAGGGGGTTTAAAAATAATTAAATAAAATAAAATAGGATTTTCAGAATAGGAAAACAAATGTGTATTTTGGATAGGATAGTGAAAAATAATTAAACAAACGGACCNCGTTTAAGCAATCTGAAATCGCTTAAGCGACCAAGAGTAAACTGAATCAATCGCTTAAGCGATCATGAGTAAAACAGATTAATCGCTTAAGCGATACAAATGATCGCTTAAGCGACAGTACAAGCAATATTCCCAAACAACGTACCCTTTCTTCGTCGGCTTCCTCCTCGTCGCCTGAATCCTCAGACTCCTCCTCCTTGCCTAAATTCTCGCTTGACTCATTGTCTTCAGAACCGTTTGTCGGTTCTTCCCTCTGTTCTTGTGCCGCTGGCGTCTCCTCTGTGTTTGGACCACCTTCACTGATCGGATGATCCACCGGAGCAGCCATTGAACTGTTTGCGCCACCGGAATCTAGGATTCGAAGTTGCGTTGGGTTTTCCTCCTCATTGTGAGTGTCAGTGATGGTTTTGGATTGAATTTGGTGTCAAAGTTTGCAGTTTCGATCGGAAATGTGGACTGTATCACCAAAAATCGCACAGATTCCGTTTAGGGTTAAGGAAATTGATTTTAGGGTTCAACAAATCGATCGGAAATCGTGACTGTATTCGGTTTAGGGTTCAAGAAATTGATTTTAGGGTGCAAATTTACAGGTGTTCAATCGAAAAAAATCGCGTCTCCCTTTGGTTCAAGAAATCGCTTTTTGCCCTAATGAATTTCGATTAAGCGAGATGAACAGATAGTGGGGCTTGTTTTGAGAAATTTCAAATTTTAAAAACTTTAATTATTTCAGATTTAGCCCACATATGTTTTAATCTTTTTCTTTTAACCCATTTTACGTGTTTAATTAATCCTAACTATGCCAAGTCATCTTCTTTAAATTAAAAAAAAAATGAAAAACAGTTTCAAGGTCATTTTCTTAAATCGAAACTTGGGATGGCCGAGCAGCTAAATTTTCTCCTTAATCAATGCCTTAATAAAAATTATTATAAGGGTATCACGAAGTTAGCTAATTCTCTTGGATGAGCTGAAATTAATGTTTTTCTTCATGAAATAAAACAAAAATACTGTTATGCTCGGATGATATTTCATAATATAAGAATCATGAGATCTATATATTATTAACTCGAAATTTGAAGTGAAAATACACTTGTAAGGGTGAAAAGAAAAAGAAAATCAAGTTGATGTAGATGATCATTTCCAGGCTTTCCTCCCCCGAAATTGTTTGCCAGATCGGTTGTGTTTTCTCTTCTTCTCCTCGCGAGATTTTGCCACCTTGGCTCTTTTGGCAGCAAGGGGCATAGCCTTCTTGTGTTCCTTCTGACGATTGCTCAAACCACCCGTCTGTGCACAACATCAGTAACATTTATAAAAACATGACACACAATGTGCATAAAATAAAATGTATACAGAAGCAAATATGAAGTGACTTTCAAATTTCACACTTCAGGCACATTTTAAACTAAGAAAAGCAGGAAACTTGCAATACAAAATTTCAGTACTTGAGCTAATATTAATAACTAGAGTCCGTTTGTTTTAGTATTTTGGATAGTATTTTTGAAAAAGTAAGAGTTGGATGGGAATAACGAGGTAAGATTTTAAAATTAACAAAACACCCCCTTAGGTTTGTTAATTTACTAAACACTCCTGTAATAAAACATTAAAAATTAACAAAAACACCCTTACCCACCCATTAAATACCGGCAGCCGACCACCACTGCCGGAGGGTGGCCGAAGTCACCGTATTGGCGCACGACCGATATGGCTTTTTCCAACCAAATCCACCGTGGATTTGGCCAGAAAAGGCTAGATCTACGACATATCTTGGCCATCGTTGACGACTAGCTACGGCAAAAAATCTAGCCTTTCTATGGTGGATCTAGCCGAAAAAGGCTAGATCGGCGCACTACCGGCCAAATCCAGTCGGTAGTACGCCATTATACCAGATTCCAACCACCTACAGACAGTGGTGACCGGAATCTAGCAAATGTGGGTGGGTGAGGGTGCTTTTGTCAATTTCTAAACTTTTTTTTTTTGGGTGTCTAGTTAACAAACCTAGGGGGTTTAAAAATAATAAAATAAAATAAAATAGGATTTTCATAATAGGAAAACAAATGTGCATTTTGGGTAGGATAGTGAAAAATAATTAAACAAGAGGACCCTACAATTCTCCAAAACAAAAAAAACAAAAAAAGATGAATACTGAAATGGTGAAATAAAATACCTTTTTCTGTTTTATAGCAGTTCGAGCCATAAACTTTCCTCTGTCTTCCCTACCTGCTCTAACTAATGCCAGCCTTTCTTCCTTGCTTAACTTTTGCCGTACATGAGCCTAAAATTTGCATGAACAAGCATGTCAGAACACCATCCACCATTTCCAAGAAGAAAACATCTTCAAATAAAATGAGGAGAAGACCAGATGAAAATATGCACATGCACAGAAGAATTAGGGGACAGAGAGTAAAATGAGGATCACCCACCAAACATCTCAAAGAATTCTACATCATTAAAAAGCTTCAAGCCTATTAAGTTTACCATTATTAAGCATACAGAAATTCTACCTTCTTATCATACATGTTTACCATACAAGACATTATGAAATATCACTTCCAAGTTTGCTAATATTTGCAATTTATTCCAGAATTTTCTGAATAGACACAATCTAACATCTAAATGCCCTTACACTCAATCATTCTAACCTAGTTTCCAAATCATACCCAATGATCTCACTCAAAATTTCTCCCCCTCCTGAAAACTTGCAGCTTTAGGGCTTCTAGAAGCCAATTTGCAACAAAAGTGTGAGAAGAACATGCTAGAAGTACACATGGGCAATAGAAGCAGAGAGGACTTACTTCAAGTTTGGCTGGATCCACGCGCTTAACTCTGAGTTGATCTGAACTTGGAACTTTAAACCCTTGCTGAGCCAGAGCAAGCTTTGCATCCTTCTTTGCCTGATAGTATAATCCAAAGAAGCACCCAGCAATTAACATATAACCTTGTTATATCCACCCTAGGTCTATGAAAATGTGCATGTGAAAAGAAAATCCTGACACAAGGTTTCAACATTATACAAGAATACACACTGTACCACATTAATTATAAACTTGTGAACAAATTAGCACACCTTTAGTTCCTTGATCCTTCGGAAGTCTTCGTTAGAAAGAATACCATCAGCTGAGTCAGAAGAGCCATGACCTATTTTTGCTTCCGCCAATCTCTTCAGAGCCCGGAGACTAGTATCAGCAGCAATAAGTTGTCCATCAAAATCAGAATACTTTCTCTTTCTTGCTTTAGATTCCAGTCCGCTACCGCCAGCATCATTGTCATCATTTGTAGGAAGGCCATTAGCTTCTTCAAGTTCCTCGTCTTCCTCTGCCCCTGCCTCCACATTCTCATCCTCTTCCTCCTCATTATCACTAGCATCATCATCATCACTGACACTAGTAGCATCATCATCTTCATCAACTGTATCATCACCTTCACCATCATCTTTCTCATTTCCAGTACCATCACTATATAACTGACTTTCTTCATCAGTATCAACAGTGGTCTTCTCATAATTATCATCATTGTCATCAGAGCCACCAAATTTGGATTCATCAGTGTCATCCCCGCTGTCATCACTGTCTTCATCATGTTGTAACAACTCAACACCAGGAACATCGCTAGCAATGCTGACTTCTCCATATGCTCTTGGCCTTGCCTTAGGGTCAATTGGGCGCCCACGATCCTTCTTCACCAGCAACGAAGGGCAAACCTGGAGTAAAGAAAGTAATTAGACTCCCCAACTTGAGTGGACAAATAAGTGGACATGCAACTGTTTACACACATATAAGATAGCGCAGCAAAAGAATAATATCAATACCTCTCTAAATAAAGTGACAAGTGAACGAGCTGCTGCTGAAACTGCCTTCTCATGTGATTTCTTATATAATACAAGATCTTGCAGCAAGTCTTCTGTCATCAACTAAAAGCCAAAACAAAAGATTAATTTTTACAGCATTGTAAACTTGGAGATATATATCAAAGAGCTCAAAAAGCTCAGGCCCTGCAGAGGTACTTACCAAAGGTATTCGCAGACATATTTCCCTAATGACATTCAGCCCAACAGCAATGGCCTGGTGCAAGCAAGTGAAGTTAAAGGAAAGTCCACTGGGGATTAGTAAGAAAACGAAATAAAGCAGACATGAAACAGTACCTCTGTACGTGAACGATCATGTACAAATTGATTCACAATCTGTTTGAATAAAGGTTCAACTGCTTCAGGAGGCACCTGGTTGAGTGCAAGCAAGATCAAAGGAAATTAAAGAACGAAAGGAAATTAAAAAAATAAGTGTCTAAGCATATCTTCTCACATTTTACAAATTTGATACAAAATATATATATCCCCATAAAAAAACTAATAAATAAAAATTATTTAAAAAAAGGATATTTCATCAAATTCAATCAATCAAAATAGAAAGCCTACATACCATATCATGGCAAGCCTGAACTGCTGCGGCAAGTAAATTGGTGATATCACGTTGATGAGGCTGCATATACCAATACAGTCATAGTTCATTTGAGCAAGAGACTAATAACTTCAATGAATGAGTTAAATAATATACCTGAACATACTTCTGGAGGAAAGGGTAAAAATTTAGCAAAATCAATCGGTGAAGTCCAATTGTTCGAGCAATCACTTTCAACATCATCATTTTAACCTGATGTTAACAAGGAATAATAATCAGACAGATCTGCAATTTGTTAGAATTCCCTGCGGGAAAAAATAATCAAATAGAAAAAAAAGAGGGAAACAGGATATAAAAATGTAAAACCCCTGATACAAACAACTCAACACTAGCTGCTATAATAAAAAATTTAGAAATAAAAAGCCAGATGAGACAGCATACAATGAGCAAAATGTTGAATATCGAAGAGTATTCACCTCAAAACGTTCATTGCAAGTTTGAAGACGAGAAAATAGCTTCTCAGCAAATCCCTGCAGACAAAATGGGAGTTGAATATTCCCTACTTTCCATAAAAAGAACTATGAACTGAATTATTATTATCAGTTATGATGCATGAAAAGCTGCATACCTGTGCATCAATTAGATGGTTAAAAGGCGAATAATAACTCGTAGAGTTCTTTTCTGAAGACAGGCGTTGCTTCTTTTTCATGTTACGCATGGCACGCTGTAATTTTGCTTGCTTTTTTTTCTTGCTAGATGTTGTACCTTTATGATGTGCCTGAAATTTGATTCAGAATAACAACATTGAAATTAATCTAATGCCTTTTCAAGTTATAAACTAACAACTCAGTGAACATTGGCTTCAGTGACATAATTATGAAAATATATGAATAAATTATATAATTTTAGGTGATAACTGACCTTATAGACAGCTTCCTTACTAAGGATGGCTTGTGGTGTTTGAGTGGTCGCATCATCTTCGTCACTTGAAGCATCACTATCATCATCATCTTCAATATTCTCACAGTCAAGAAGAAATGATAGAGCAGCGATCATAATCCTGATGAATTCAAATACAAATAGTATCCTCTTCAACTCCAATCTAGAAATAACATGTCAGGCATCCAAGTAAAAGCAAAACATACAATAAAATGCATACCTTGATGACGAATGAAAACACGCTTTACAGATAGCATTTGCTGATCTATCATCAAACCACACCTTTCTCCGGTGAAGCTCACATAGAGTAGTAAGCGACCTCTTGGCTCTTGTTTCATCTTCTGCCTAGAGAGAAGTACAATGATCCAAACATCAATCAGAACCTTAAAATTAACTGACATAGTATAATAATAATAACCAAAGATATATAATGTAAACCAACCTGTAGAATTGAAAACACTATATTCTGAAGTGCTCGATTTTTGGGCTCGTTCTTATGCTTCTGATTCATGCGCTTAATGCTATGAACAACATGAGAAAATGCCAACTTCCTCAGATTCCTATCACCTAGGGTTTGAAGCTCCATAAATAACGCAAGGATGTCTTGGATATCAACCATCTAAAAGCAAACAGTAATATTAAAATTCAAGTACAAAGAAAACAAAATTCTTCCCCAATTCATTGCCACCGATAAACATATTAAAATTCTGAATTTGACAAATAAAAAATGTTGGATTAAACATAAAACTAACAAACTTATATAAGTTTTACTTATTCTAACAGCAACTACTGTAACCTGAAATTCTACAATATACCTTTCGATTAACAAGAAGAATAAGAGCTTGGGTGACATGACACCTAAGCCCCGACGGTAACGTTGCTGCGGACGATTTTAAGAACTCGGCGAGCTGACTCGGGAAGTCGGCAAGTTGCTTGGGATAAAAGGGCGTGACGTGCGCTAAAAACATAGCGCGGTCACCCAGGTCTTTCGCTACAGTGGGATCACCACCAACGCCGCTGATTGAGCCGAAGTTAAGAGCTGCTTGCTGCTGGAAGAGATCGAGAGCCGAATTGAATTGCTTGTAAATGAGTGTGAGTTCTGTTTCGTAGCCATCCGGGTCGCATTTCATTTTCGATTGTAGTAATGGTAAACTTAATTTCTCGGAGCTTCGGCCGGATGCCGAGAGAGGCTCCGGCGAGAGGGCGGTGATGACGTGCTGAGTTGACATTTGTCAGTGAGCAGAAGTTGGGAGGTTTTGGGGAAAATTGAGAAACCCTAACAAAACCCTACATGTACGTATTTGTAACTGTGTTGCTTTCTCTTGTGGACCTTAGCGCATTGTATCTTTGTTAGCATTTTAAATTTTAATAGATGAGGATTTTAAAAAAATTGAAAAAATAATTTTTTTTAGTAAAATTAAGTAATTTTTATTAACATTTTAATAGATACTGTTAACAAATTTATAAATAAAAAATCAAATATACTTAAATTATATAAACATATGGATTATATCATTAATAATATAAATACAATCTATTATTAACATGTATTTTGAGATTTTTATATTTCAAAATTATATTAAATTAAAGAGTAATACTATACCAATAACCTTTTTATACAAACTTTTTTCACAAACTTATGTGACAAAAGATGATTGAGTGATTGTTTATTTTAAATTTAAAACCATCTAATCATCTTTTATCATATAAATTTGTGAGAAAAAGTTTGTATTAAAAGATCGTAGATATAGTGTTGATGATGTTGTTAAATTAAAGAGTGAACGACATTTTCTCACCCAAGGTTTGGTAAATTTACAAATTCCCGCTCCTAGTTTCATAAATTGCATATTTCCACCCTTAAATTAACAGATAACTGTTTAATCATATAGTTAAAAGGGTAAAATAGTTATTTCAAAGATGAAAAATTTTAAAATAACCATTCACTTCTCAAATTCACCCCACTGGTGATTTCAGGCCATTTCAGCTTATTTCTGACATAATCAACCCCTCCTAACACCATTATTACAATCTCCTCAACCTCCGCATCAAAACCCCTAACCTCCCCGCTTGATTGAACCTCCCAATCGTCAATAGTCGCTTTTAGGGTTTAGGGTTTTGGTGAGGAGGATAAGGGGATGCTGATGGTGGTGTCAAGGATGGTGCTGGAATCAGGCTAGATTCTTGGCTTGGTCGGGATCCTCTGGGGGTTATTTGAGAGAAATTTGAGATGTAAGAGTTATTTTGAGAAAAAAGTAACGGCGTTAATGTAAGTGTAGGAATTTGCAATTTATGAAACCAGGGGAGGGAACGCAGATTCGCCAAACCTTGGGTGGGAAAACGTCGTTTACTCTAAGTTAAATAACAAAAATTTACTTAAAATTTTCTAAAATAATAAAAATCTTTCTTTATTTTTAATAAACTTACATCTTTTAGGGTATCCAAAATAGAATTTATACTATCATAAGTTCTATAATACTTTAAAATTTTACATCAGAATTTTTTTTTTAAAATCATAATACAATTTTTATTATTGTAGGGAAATTAAATTAAATAGTACAGTATCACACCAGAAATAAAACAAAATAAAAAGTGGAGGGTACAACCCACAGCAGGAAGGGCGCAGATAAATCAGAGCGTCAAGTACTCCCTCTGTAGTCTCATCTGTTTTACTTGAGAGTTGTGGTGGTAGTGCTGTTTCGATTTTTTACTTCAATTGAATTCAAGTTCCCCTATGAAAGTTCAGACTTTACCCAGTAAAGCCGCATTTGCAGCAATGAAAAAAGTGTTCCATTCGTCTCCGGGCCAGCTTTTTAACAGCTCTCAGGTTCCTTCTCTCGCTTTCTGTCCCATATGCACACACGCAAATACACACACAAGTTGAAAAGTGAGTGTTAAAATGATATCTATTTAGCTTATAGCAGTAGATACTACTTTTGGAGAAAAACCTTGCCTTTTGAATTCTGTAGTTGGCTTATAAGTGATATACCATTTGTAAGATTATAAGTTTACCCTTGGTTTGCAGCCAATTTTATAAATGTGTAGAAATGTTTCATTTTATCGAGTTGGATAATTTGAAAAAGGATATGGCATACTTTATCTCTTTAGTGGTCGAATAAAGCCTAAACTATTCTATCTAGATTATGTACACGCTCAACATTTAAGGTACTATTACTGCAATTTTTCCTCGATTTGTTCTGTGTTTCTCTTATTGTTAGTACATGAGTTCACATGATTTTTAGTAAAATTGATCATTGTCTGTCAGGGTGTTTGCAACGTTGGAATGACGGGTGAAGAGTTGATGTTGAAATTGCTGGACAGAAAATGGACATTGAAAAGCCCTGATTCTAAAATTCACCAAATTGTGCTTTCTGCTATACCAGGAAAGCATGGAGATGGGCTATTTGGTAACATTTCCTTTTTAAACAATTCTAGTCCATGTCTTGGTGATCACATGATCAAGAAAGATAAGGATCAATGCTTCTATGTCATTAGAGATGATTTGTTGCATCCTCTGGTAAATGGTAATAAAGCACGAAAATTGGATGGATTGCTTCCTATCCTTGAAGATCATTCTGTGACTGACGTGGTGAGAATTGTGTTTGTTTTGGATGTTAGCTGAAAAAGGCATGTTAGAAATGTCTGTTTTTTTGCTGGTATCTTAGGTTCTATTTATAATTAAGTTGTTAATCACATATGTGGAATCGTCATTCCTCTCAGTGTCCTTACAATTTTAGGGACTTTGAAGACCAAATAACTTTCAACTGAACTGAGACCTTTTCTAGGTTACCTGCGGAGGTTGTCAAAGCGCTCATGCAACAGCTGTGGGTATGCAACTTCTTACACTAGTTACGTTGGGATGTTTCTCTTAATGTTTATTTTGCTAGAAATTCTTTGTTTGGTGAAGTTTCCAAGGTGGGTCTTGCTTCAAATTTCTGATTTGTGTATTTGCAGCTGTTTCATGTGCGGAGAGAGGATTGAAATGTCATTTGCTGCTGCGAGGGGAGCAGCCCGAGGTTCTGACTGGCTATAACCTGATTTCTACAATCTATGGAAATGTCACATATGTGCCAAGATCCCTCTATGCCCAAAGGACCGAAATGCTAAAGTCTCATGCTCATTTGATTGCAGGCAATAATGGTCATGTTGTCTGGTGTAATGACATGTTTGAGGCGTCTTTAACAGGGCAGACACCCTGGGCTTCAGACTTTGTGCAAACTGGTGCTCATAGAGATGCTGACAACTGCTCAAGAAAGGTTGTAATTGTCAATGAAGGAGCAGGAGATTGTGTAGCATTACTAGGTAAGTCAAGCATCACCTTTTTGGTGTTGTCATTACTGCATATCTTATTAGGGCCTCTTTCTGACTTCTGCTAGTGAGCTAGCATATAATCAGATCTTGAACATAGGCTATCATGGACACTTTTACCACCTAAGGCTGATATGACATCTTCCTGTCAGCATTTCTTTCTGAGAACTTGGTGTTACTCTCAGGTCTCATTTCCTAGATTTATCATGCTTGAGGAGGTCTTTTCAATGAGTCACATAAGGTCTGGTCTTAAGCAATTTGGAAATAACCATAAATTGCCTTAATTGTTAATTTTCTACATTGATTTTATTGATTGTTGTCGTTTTTTTATGGAAAGGAAGAGGGATCCTCTGTAAAATGTTGTTTTAAGATGTTAAAGATTTATTTTACATTTTTTTGGCTGTTTTTAAGTTTTGAGTTTTTCTATTGCTGATTACTAATTGGTTGATTGCTAAAATGGGTTGATTCATATGGTTTCTTTCTTTTCTTGTAGGTGTCTTCCGCCTAGTTCAGTACTTATCCCAGGATCATTTACTTGGAAAGAAGAGGGCTGTCAAATTTATTGTGGATGCCGGTACTGGTACAACAGCTGTTGGTTTAGGACTTGGAGCCATATTTTTAGGGTGTGTTCCAGTCTTTGTTATACACTTCTAGTTGAAATAAACCGCCTCAGAGTTTCTGATGATAACATTATTATATTCTGGGACTAAGTTTTTGTCAAGGCATACTCTGTTAGCACATTGAGCAAAGCTATTGTTTTCTCTCAGGCTTCCGTGGGAGGTAACTGCAGTAATGCTTGCTGATACAATTGATGGGTACAGGCAACATGAGGAACGTCTGATTTCTGAGTTTCAGAAGATATTTGGTTTTCTACTCGACGACAACACTTTAAATAAGGTAGATGGTGGAATCGTGCATTGGGCAGAACGTTGTCAGCCAAGAAAGTGCGTGATTTCTTCTCCTTCTGGTGTATTTAATGGTCTTCTTTGGACCTTACATGTATATTTTTCCTGTGCTCCCTATTTGTGATATATAAATAATTTTTTACAGTTCACACTTGTCATTTTATAAAAACATTAATTTTTTTTTTCTTTTTATTAGCTGTTTGATTCAATAATATGTATATATAGTTTCTTCTGAATCTTGACTAGTTTAAAAGGAAAAAGTTGGGGATCAAGGAAAATAGTTGAACTTGATCAATATCCATTATATCCCGTGACTTGAACATTTCTAACATATGAAATCAATATCAATCTTTGTTTTTGTAAATCAAGTTCATGCACTCTCTCAGATTTGGCAATGTGTTGGAAGGAGAAGTAGAGGCATGCAAACAAATTGCACAGCTCACTGGTATTTCAGTAGATCCTGTATACACTTTAGCGGCTTGGGAGATGGCAACACTCCTTAGTGACAAGGAATTGAAGGAGGATACAAATGTTGTGATGCTTCATACTGGTGGCACGCTTGGCATGTTTGGATTAGCCCAGAGGTATAAATCCTACTTCAATGGTCTTAAAGATGGATTTTCCATCTAAAGTAACACTGATTTTGTATTACTATATATCAGGCGTTATTTTGGTGCAAATCACTGAAAGCTTGTGTGTTGTTATATGCTTTTCCTTTTTTGAAGGGAGTTTCTCTGTTCTCTTGTGATGAAATGGATGCTTATGCTTATGTCACATTCATTGCATGTATTTAGAGGTATCGGCTATGTTCTAAATTTCTGGAAACAGTGACAATGTTATATTTATGTACTTTACTGGATTAGTATGTCATAATTAGTTATGCGGATGCGTTGGTGAGAGGACCTATTAATATGTCACATTCAGTATTTATTATGTTTTTCACTATAAATTCAAGCATTAACCCCAATAATCAGGTTTCCCAAGTTCATAAGATCAATAAGACTACACCACACTTGATGAGGTAATTTAATCATTCAAAAGTTTTCAGCCCAAGTATCTCAACCTAAAAAGCAATTTAACAATGGTCCCTGCAAAGAGGTGAGAGAAATCACCACTTTTTAACAACTGCCTGTAGCTACTAATAAACTCACTGATACTTCATGGATGCACATTGCATCTCATTGATTGTAGTATCCTTCTTTCATGCAAGACAAGTATTTGACAGACAGACCATTGGCTTTGAGTTGGTTACATTGCAACTTACAAATTGCCTGTCCATTTTTATGAAACCTTCTTGTTTGTTTGTTCATTTTTGGCTTGACGTTGAAAGGGAACTCTGCTCACCTTGCCCTTTACGTGCAATTTCATGTGGCTGTCTTAAATGATCCCTGCCTTCAACAAAAGGAAAGTTCCAGATCTTGCATAAATTTGGCTAAGAATTTATATCAACTAAGACAGCCACGTTCATAGAAAAACTTACATCAACCAAGACTATACCTTTATTTGTATTAACAGGTTAGAGCATAAATGACTTTTGATCTTGTATAAACTTCGAATATAAGGATTTCAAGCTACCCTCTGGCGGTCTCTGGCCACTGTACCAAATTTAAAAAAAAAAAAGAAAAATAAAAATGGGTTGCCTAACCATTCTGCATTCTTTAAAGTTTGGTCGTTGAGGTCCAATGTGGTCAGGAGAAGGTGAAACTCTCAATGGAACTGTAATCTAGGAAGTAGCGAAATAATTATTTAAAACTCGGTTTCTAGATTGGGGTGCTGTGTTTGTATAATATTTAGAGTTGAACATTCTTGATCAAAGTGTTAATAATATATTTAGAAAGTGGTTAAGCATAACATATAATTGCCCCCTTAAAGCTACCTAGAATCTAAAGCCAGAATAAAGAAAAAAACAATGCTTAACCCTCGTCACTGAGAACGTTCACATGTATCTACTGGGTGACGATTCGCCACGGTGACAAGAAACGACACAAGAACAAGCTCCGCATTGCGCACACGCTTGCCGATGCTCAAAATTAGCTTCTTCTTTCACTGTAGTACAAATTATAATAACAATATTTGAAGCACTAACTTAATTAGGTGGCCTACACCCTTTTAGGCCACAGCAGCATTCCTGGTAACAAGGGGGAGCAAAGAAGGATGGTCCCATGGACCACTTTCTCCAAGCCTAAACGTTTCTTCACATTATCATCACCCAGATTCCCATATTTTGTATGCATTAAACCCCTCGTATTTCAGTTAATATAAAAGGAGACGTGATGCTTCATTACATCCCAGTGTGTATCCATTGAAAATAAGAGATTATGAAAAGTTGTAGCCCAACAAATGGAATGTCTTTGAGTTTGCTTGGTAGTTTATTTAAATAGTAAAGGGTTAGGTGGGGGACTGGAAGAAGAGGATATATACATCTCTATCACTTACTTTTCTGTTCTGTCATCTGTGACCTTAAAAGAAAAGGGTAGCTAGGTGGGTGGTGTTGGATAAACAGGAGAAAGAGTAGTGGCCATGGCCCATGAATTTATGTGGAAGAAATGGGGAACACACCAACAGAGCCTAGTAGTAGCCCTACTGTATAAATTATTAGCATCATCAATGTTCCAGTATAATAGATATCAAACATTTCTATTCATTTACTTAATGATGTACTGTGGCAAGAACGATTACTATACCAAACATTTGCATGTAATTAGATATATGAACTACGCAGAAGAAGAAGCATTTCTCCCTTTTCTAGCTTTTGAATCGTAACTTACACCAACCTGACTCCCTGTAAAAACGAATGTTGATTCGATGAAATAATTAATGAAGGATAATAAATAAATGAACCCACTGTGCATCTACTCCTTGTTACTGCATTTCCATTTCCTCATCGTCATCTCTTAAAAATTTTCAACCAGACATAGAGGTAATTAATGTCAAAAATGTCCATCAAAAGAAGCAGAAACATGATTAAATAAAGAAGAGACAAGAAAGGAGGTGAATGGGGAGACAATGATATGCAAAGTAACGAAGATCAAATTTAAAAAAACTTGGATTACGGTGGGTGGGAGCATTGGAAATCTCATGTTGGACCTGAAACTAGAATCTCCGGCGCACGTGTGCTGCCTTCTGCATCTTATAATTTTCTATGCTTAATCACTTAATTTGTTCCATCATTTGATGTCTTTGATGCAAACTTTGATATTCATATTACATATGGGCGTCACTTGGGTGGGGTAGAGGGTGAGCAGAAAATAAAACCACTGAAGATGGGAAATCTTTCTGATTTAGAATTATATAGTATTGAGTAAACCACATATTCCCACCCTAGGGTTTGATGAAATTCTAGTTGGTACCCCATGTTACATTTATTCTAAATTCTCATCCTTAAAATAACATGTTAGCAATTTTTAGGGTTTAAAGGATGCAATGACCATAATACCCTTAACCCTAAATTAATAAATTATGTTTTAACCCCTAAATTAGTAGAATTATAACCTACCATTTTATTTTCAAATTATGTCAAAAACACCCTTGATCACTATACACCCTCGTCAGAAACACCCGATCTGGGTGTTTCCAACGGCATCGAACCCCGTGGTCACCTCCATCACCTTCCCCGTAGTCAGTCGTCCAAAACTCTTCTGGTTCTCCACTCATTGGCCCTTCCAATCGCTGGTGCTGTTAGGCTTAGGGTTTTGGTGTTCTTCGCTGGATTCTGATCGATTTCGGTTGCGAAAATCCAATTGGACACCACCACTGCAACCATTGGCTCCAAATCTATAAAACCCTTATGTCCCCAGCAACCGTTTCGTCGTTGTTTGTCGATTGAGAGTTTGTGTTCATTGGCCCTTTTTTGGTGAAGTGGTGGATGGCAAACAGTGAGCTGCCGTGGTTAGGAAGGTTAGGGGTTTTGTAAAGAAGGATGCGAGGAGTCAAATGATGGTGGTGGTTGGGGTTTTCGCAGTTTAAAACGACCAAAAATAAAAAAAAATCAATTGTATGTTGCGACTATCATGGTCGGCGATCAGCGAGTGATGAGGGGTTGAGAAGGGTATGGTTTTGTAGAGGGGAGGATGGAGGTTCAAATGGTGGTGACAATGATGATTTTAGGTAGAAGAATCGTCGAACAAAGGGCGAAAAACATAAGGGATGTCATCTGCTAACATGCATTGAATGACTGTTAGAGATGATAGTCTGCTAACATGCACCGCTTATGTAAAATGACTAATTTTTACCTCTTTATCGTTATATCAAATATTTTTTCAAGGTAAGAATCGAAATAAATATAATCTAGGAGATCAATTTGAGATTTCGTCAACCCTTGGGTGGGAATATGGCGTTTAGTATTAAGCAATTTGCAGGGTTGATTTAAAGATCTGGATATTGTGAAAGATTTGCAAGGACTGTAGGTTATGGTTACGATGATGGGGATGTCATTTCATTTCTGAAGCATCACTTCAATTTAATTTACACTTCCTTTTTATGCGCCTCCTACTCCTAACTACCGCCACCGCCACCGCCACCCCCCCACCCCTATATGGTATTTCCAAATTTATAATTCCATATTTAATGTAATTATAATTCCATATTTAATGTAAATACTTACTAATTTATTAATTTTCGTCTTTTCAGATCAGTCACCTCTATAAATACCAATTCATATTTAGTCAGCAAATGAATGCTTCAGTATTTCAACTGTACAAGGGCAACCTCTTTTTTTCAATAATAAAACAATTAAATAGACTTAATCATCTTGTTCGGAGTTAGAGTTGTTCCATACAAATTTTAGGTGCATTTTTTAAAGAGTAATACTAATTTTATAAATACATATATAAATGGGATATATAAAGATAATCTTCACCCTTGATTTTTATAATTTCTTTTTTTTTTTTGTTTTTTTTTTCTTTCGGATGTCACTTTGTAACCCTCTTTGTTTTGGTCTCTGTAAGGATAATAATTTTTTTTTTAAAAGGTTTTGAGTTAGAATCTCTTGTCGGATGCTAATAGGAGTATCCATTAGTTCATTAAAACTCTTTTTCAAATAGTAGTTTTAGGGTTTCGAAAGATCAGTTAAGATATGTGTAAATTGGTCCGAATACTTTCAATCATAAAAAGAAATAATTATGACTGAATTTTTTTTTTATTAGGTGGTAGGAATTTAGTGGGTTTTCATCCTTAGAAAGGACAATACGATAATTAATGAATTAATTATCGTAAGTAATACTATATTAACAACTCTATGAGACCCGTTATAAATTTATTAATTTAAGTTACCATAATAGAATTGTGAAAAAAAATTGATGGGAGAGAATTATTTGTGTAATATTATTCATTAATTATAAGTATTTAGGACCAATAGTACAATAAAGAGCATGCATTCCATCATTAATTACTGAATAAATACAGTATGAACGTTGGTCTAACTTGAACTTCTAAGACTTACTGTCACCGACTCATCCGATCGCCCATCACTGACATTAATCAATATAAGGTACGAAAAAAAAGGAGAAAATTTAAGTTCCTTCTCATGGTAAATCTTTGATTAAACTTCATCATCCCCCATCAAAACCTTTTTGGCATAAGCTGATTAATTAATTCCTGACTAAAAAAAAAATCCCCCACTGCCATTGATGCTCCATTCCTGCCTTTTAAAGTTATTATTATTATTATTATTATTATATATTTACCATTTAACAAATAATACAACATCTGCCATGCATATTTTCTTCACAGTCAATTACCTTGAATTTTACATATATGGATTATTCATATTATATATTTTAATGCCCACCAGGCCACCACCACAAGTACATTAAATTGGATGAAGTGAATTTCTTGGAATCCAGCTAGCTCTAAGTTAATAACGTTGAGTTGTAATTCTTTATATGAGAATTCTCAATCAACATACTCTGCTTCTAAATTTAGAGAAGGGTTATGATTTTTTTTCCTGAAAAGATTTTACCAATTGAAGAGAAAAAGAAAGAAGATAATTAATTGCAGGAAGGAACACGTCTAGCAGTCACAGAATGACAGAAGGATGAAATAACAACTCTCTACTACTGCTAGAAGCCAAGGAGCTAGCTTGCCAGTAGCCACGTTTGCATGCAGCAGAACTGAGCGAAAATTGAAGGGAAAAAAGAAAAAGATTTTCTGGTTTTTAATAAATAATAATAGATACAGAAATACAAAAAATAAAATAAAAGAATACGATACAATACGAGTAGTCAAATTACAAACATGAAAATTGAAAAGTACCTTGCACCAGGCAATTATTACTGTCTTCGATATCTGATGCCATTACCATTTAACATTCACCTATCCTTGTCCCCATGCTATCATCTCCTTTCCCTTTAATCAAATCACCCACGTGTACGCTCCACATCAATTCTCTCCCCCCATATTAATCCCAGAGGGGTATTCATGTAAATCTCGAAAAAAAAATTAGATGGCAAAGGACATTTTTAGTAACTTTGGCTTGCAAAGTAAGTAGAGGAAAAGGGTAGAAAGACATTTGTGCTTTTATCATACACTGGACTTGGAGGGAAGACAGAGAGAGTAGAGAGAGAGAGAGAGAGAGAGAGTGTGTAGTAGAGAGACTTGCGCTATTTACTTGGGAAGATAAAGAGATATCCTACTATCAGCAAAGAAAGGGCATATTTTTACCATTAAAAACTGGCTGTTAACTTCACCGGAAAAACTGGTTTCCTGACTTGCGAAAACTTACAAAAACCCTCATGGGAGAAACCGGTATCGTCCGGTTTCCAGGGAACCTAGACCCACGAGCTCAAGAGTTCAGACCGAGAAACCTCACGAACATCCAAACCCAATTTCCGGTTTTTAGACCACCCCACGTTTATTACCCATACACTCATCTTTCTCCGTATTCTTCAACCGACGTCCAAGTTGTGCCGTTCTGTGATGCTTCTGGTGCTGGTGTAGGTGGTTTAGGCTACCCTCAGTGTCATACACAGGCGGCGTACGTTGGTTCCCCCTCGCTTCCTGCACTTCCTCCTCCATCTGCGGCGCCAACGCGGACGTTGGTGTTGAGTTCGGTGGCGAGTGATGTGAGTGAGTCGAGTGTGAGGAGGGACTTGGAAGTTTTTGGTGAAGTAAGAGGTGTTCAGATGGAGAGAGTGGGTGAAGGGATCGTGACCATTCATTTTTATGATCTGAAACATGCAGAGATGGCTTTGAGGGAAATACGAGAACAACACATGCAACTACAAAGCATGTTGGGGAACCAATACTGTGGTTTGGTGTTGCAGAATAATTGTGAAGGTGAGAGTCTGAGTTCTTCGTTTGTGTCTCCAACCGCGCGTGGCCTCATTGCTGGCCGACCCGTTTGGGCGCAGTTCATTCTTCCGTCCTGTAATGCCGTTCCTGATGGGAATAATCAAGGGACTATCGTGGTTTTTAATTTAGACTCCGGTGTCTCCTCTTCTAGTCTAAGAGAAGTTTTTCAGGCTTTTGGTAAGTCTTGAATTTTTGGGTTTTTCCATTTTGTTGCGGGTTTTAGAGAGGTTTTAGTTTTTTATTTATTTATTTTTTTTTAAAGAACTTTTGAGTTCCTTCGAGTTTGAAGTGAAGAAAAGTTTTCATAAGATCTGAAAGCGTTTGATTTGTTTTACTGTTTTCTGAAGTGTTTTGTTTTGATGGGATTTTGCGGTGAACCGTTTGTTTAAGAACCCGATGGGTCGTGTTCTCATTTCATTTGCCATTTTCAATGAAATATTTGACCACTAATTAAACAGCTAACCAGTGACCTTTCTTAATTTACATTTCTCAGGTCCCGTGAAGGAGTTAAGAGAGACACCGTTTAAGAAACACCAAAGATTTATAGAGTTTTATGATATAAGAGATGCAACGAAGGCTCTCAAAGAAATGAATGGGAAAGAAATCTTCGGTAAGGCTTTAGTTATTGAATTCAGTCGGCCGGGTGGCTATAACAAGAAGTTCTTCAATGCCTACTCAAACACAGCCATCATCCCAACGACTAGCACCAGCAACAACATTACTGTCACTAACCCCAACACTTGTATGGCAAGAAATACTGATTATAACTTTTCAACTCACTCATCTTCTACCTTTCCTCATTCTCTCGTCTCTCAAACTCAACCCTTGAGAAAGAAATCACCATCAAGTTCAGTAAAAGGAAACCCTAATGTGAACAGGGTTAGTAGTAGTACTACTTCAATTGAGGCCTCGGTGGCTTCTTTGTCTTTGGCGGGTGCAGTAGCCAATGCAATTGATGATGGGAATCCAAGGAGGAATGCTAGGAAAAGCCAAAGCAGTCATTCAATGGCATCTATTAAACAGCAACAAGTTAAGAATAGGAGTAATAAGCCATGGAAGGGAAGACAAATGAGGAAGTTGGATTCTCGTTTCCTTATAAAAGAAGATGCCATGGTAGACTCGAATTGTAAAGATTCCCGAACCACTGTTATGATCAAGAACATACCCAACAAGTACAGGTGGCTACAAAAATTCTATGCAATTTTATATGCATTTTTTTGTAAAATGATTTAACGTGTATGTTATATTTTTATTTTATTTTCCCAATTTTTGTATCTATTTCGTATTCAGTATAATTTTTTTTTTTTCTCTTTTGACATGTTGCAGTCAGAAGCTGTTATTGAATATGTTGGACAACCACTGCATTCACTGCAATGAACAGATTGCTGAAGGGGATGACCAGCCTTTGTCCTCCTATGACTTCGTCTATCTCCCCATTGATTTCAAGTAATTCTCTACCTTGCCCTCCTTTTTCTTCTCTACATTTTGTTTGCCTTGATAAAGTATGGAATCTTAAAGAAAAGGTAATTGTTGAAAACTGATTTTTTTTTTTTTTCTGGTCATAGTTATTTTTTATAAAATTTAGTAACAAAGATTGCACATTTTGATTGTTAAATAGTAACAAGTGTAACGTGGGATATGGGTTTGTGAACATGACGTCTCCTGAAGCAACGTTGAGGCTATATAAAGCCTTTCATCTTCAAAACTGGGAGGTCTTCAACTCAAGGAAAATTTGTGAAGTCACCTATGCTAGAGTGCAGGTTTTATTCTCTTAGTAACTTTGTCTTTTGAATCATAAATGGTGAGTAGCTAATAGTCAGGAAGTAAAATTAATATATATATATATTTTTTTTGTGTAAAAATAAAAACTTTAATGAAGGGATTGGAAGCTTTGAAAGAACACTTTAAGAACTCGAAGTTCCCGAGCGAGATGGACCATTATCTACCTGTGATGTTTTCACCACCTCGAGACGGGAGGCAACTGACGGAGCCACTCCCCATTGTTGGCCAAAATAAGCACCAGCAGTTGATGATGATTGATGATTCACTCACCAATCCAGATACCACATGTGATGACCATGATGATGATGATGATAACGACTTAGATGGTGGTGATACACTTGATAATAATACCAATGACTCTACTGATTATGCTGACCAAAACGATCTCCTGATTGGCGGCAGCTGCAGCAGCACAAACGGCGGCGATGATGACAGAGATAATGCCAGTGTTCTTGTGGCATAAAAGAAGGGAGGTTCTGTGTCTATATCTCTCATTATATATAATATATATAAATATAGATATATCTACATAGCCATTAATTATATATGACTTGTTCACCGCAACCAACGTTTGTGCTGCAATATTTACCCAATGGCCGCTTGTTGAGCACCGAGCCCTTTCTTTATGTAGCCTGCCTCTGTTTACTCTTCAGGTTTAGCTAGCTGACCACTACTATCACCTCTTCCATTTACTTCTCTCTCAGAAATTAATCAAGTTTTAGCGTAATCCTTTTTTCTTTGTTCCATAAGTTGTAGCGTGGTTAACACTTTACTACTTTGGCTAGTTTCCGAAAGAGCAAAAAAGAAAATTGTCAGTGTTGTAATGGTGCTTGAGAATATCAATTTTATTGTACGTTTTTGGGTTATGAGTTAATTATTCATCGGAAACATTGAAGAATCTTTTATTTTTTTTCTCTATGGTTTATATGACATGAGTTATGTTATTATGAATGAGTGATGAGAGTGGCCAACGGATAAAACGAAGTCAAACATGTTCCGGCGTTGTATGGTGGGTATATGACCGATGCCACCCAATCCGCCAACTTGCTAGTCTCTGTACATCTCTGATTTCTTTCCACTATTGTCGATTCCTTTGCTGTCATTTTCACTCGAGTCTCTTTGCTCTCTGGCGCACTTTAATTCTATCTTTTACTTTTTGGCTAAAGAGAACTGTTCTTCCTGCAACCACCACGTTACATCTCCAACTTCTTCAATAGCTAAAGTTGATCCACCTGCTCAAACAAATGGTGGGTTTTGATTGTATAATCTCAAATCTGAACTTGAAATCACAAAATTGAGATTTGCAATGTTTTCACCTGAGAATGATTGTATAAATCTTGTACTTTGGTAGTTATACAGGAAGAAATTGTTTAACTATGGGTGTTAAAGGATGTTGACCAATATAAGGTTTTATGTACGTACAGCTAGGGTTTCAGACTCACGGTACAGTAAGCATATTGTTTTGGTTTAATTATGGGTTATGCACAGTTTGGGAGCTTGTTACCTCAGCTCTTACTCTTTATAGCCCAACCTAGCTAGCTATAACTCAACGCCGGATTTCTTCATTGTCAACGAGTCAAATAATTAAAGATTGGAAGAGATCAATTTAGTTTGATGATGAAGATTGACTAGAAAAGTTGCAGTAACATTAGGTCAATGGAGATGAAATCTTCAATGAGAATAAAATATATGAGTAAATGGTTTGCCTTAATGACATTTTTTAAAAAAAAAGAAGTTTTAAAATATCACTTTTTTATTGAAAGATAATATTCGGTTTGAATCTTTGGTCTATTCTTTATCAAATCTTTTATTTTGGTATTTACTTTCTCTTTGATTGTCAGTCATCATAAAGGCGGAGTTTTTATTCTTAGTTAATTTCTAACTGATTTTGATAATGAATATTTAATCGATTATCATCATTCGATCTACTAGTCTTTACACTATGAAAACTTATATTTTTATCTTGATTTTTGATAATTCGTCGAATGCAGGTCGAAAAAGTGAAACATATTTTAGATATTAATAAAATATTTATATAATATTTTAAAACTTTTTAATTGAGAAAGTGTCGTTAAAACAAACCTCGGTGGCAAAAAATGGTTTACTCTAAAATATATCTATCATATTTTTGAGTTTGGCTCGGTGCCTCGGTTGTCTACGTGAATTGTAGTAGCAGAGGGGGAAGAGAGAGAGACCACGTGAAATGCTGACAAATCTGATGCCACGTAGGACAAAAAATATGATGTGGCAGTATAGGTTTGACCTTGATCCGTACTATTTTGCACCAGGTTCTGCAGTGCCTAGCTCATAAAGCCTAAAAGCTCAACCTTTTTGTCACACCCCATGTCCACATTGATTTAAATTAATTTTTGATATTTGTATATTTTTTTTTTCTTATGTCATTCATTTGTCTCTACAGTTGGCTCTTGACATTTCCCTGTTATGTGCACTATCTTTATCATCATCCAATTTAATGCTTTCCTTCTGTAGCTTCTCTTTTTCTGTCACACTCTCTGCTCTCTTTCTCCTTGGTGCCCTTCTCTTGATGTTATGGGGTTTTGACACGTGGACCGCCTGATGCTGTCCACGTTATCTCCCTGTTTTTGGGTTTTTCACATATTTCCACAGTTCAACCTCGTATTGTTGGTGTCAATAGTTAATTATATTGCTGACAGTGGACCGATCCGTCATCATGCAAGACAGAACTCTACTCCTCTTATAGGTTATAACCATATTCCATTTAAGTTTTACAGGACCACTGGTCCAGCTCCAGCCCTCCCTTTGCTCTAAAAATAATCTGGGCTTAAATTAAAATGCCCATTACTATTAATTAATGTATAATCGTTGTATTATTATCATCGGATACTCTTCTCCTAGATTCTGGAACACGGGCCACTTCTTCAAGCTTGACTGTTTGAAACTTGCAAAGCACAAGGTGGTGGCTCTGGCTTATTCCCATTAATCACTTGTTTAAGAACTAATCGTACAAACAAACACACACGAGTTTAATTAAGATGACAAAATATTATAATTACCAATTAAATAACCGACATCTACCAGAATAAGGACCTTAACTGTCAAATTAACGTAACTTTTTTTGCTTTACATTAACTTTAACAGGATTTGTGTTGTCGTTTCCCCAGGTGTGATTTTTTGTCTTGTAATTGTTAAGTAGTGTTTAATTAGGAAGTGGGGGGTTTTGTTTTGACCGGGAACAGGGAAAGACCGGTAAGTATGGTCAAAGATATGGCGGGAGCATGGAAACTGTGGCCTGCGTGCTTTGGCTCAGGGTCCTTTTTAGCTAATCAAGGCCACACGGTTGGCCACTTGGACCCATCTTATTAATCTAATCACCAACTTCTTTTGGAACCAAATATATTATATTGTGATTACAATTTTACTTGGATATGAGAGAACTTTGGAAAAACCGGTTGTACGGCTGCTTGTCTTCTTTTGGATAGCCGAACCAAAAATTCGATTTATATACTTCTTTGAACCAAAACTAAACCAGTTTTTGGATAACCAAAAAATCGATTCGGTTCGTTTTCTACATATCTTTTTAACACCCCTATTACTTATGTTTAATTTTTCACTTCCTCATTTTCTTACCTAACTAAATATCATTAATTTATTGTTTTGAAATGTAAATATGATGGCGTTTTGCATTACCTAGATTCACGCACCAGTAAATGGGCCAAAAACTAGTCCAATCTCCATAACTACATATTGGGTTTATATGGGTTTCACTCCATTTGGGCTAGATTTTCATATTTCTTTTGGGTCGGTTGGGATGGGTCATAGATATAGACTGTTAATGATCATTTTTACTATAAACAGGTGTTGAAGTGGAAGCCTGAAGATAGTGTCGTTTTGGGTAAGTAGAACAACGTCGTTTCATATATGAGATCAATTGAATCTAGACCACAGATTAGTCTTCAAATCCAACGGCCTCAATCAAGCCATCAGGTCAACCCTATATAAACTCAGCTGTTTTATTTGAAATAGAGATAGAGACACTATGATCTTCGATATCCTATTGAGAGTTAGGTTTTGCAAAGGGTTCATACTCATGTTTGTGTAATCAGTAAAGTTTAGAGTGGTTAGAGGTTTAATCATTCTGGTGTGGGTGTTGTTCTTACAGATTAGAGTTTCCAGGTGAGTTACTCTAAGGGCTGATTACGGGATATATTGTATCAGGGTGGGTGTTTCTTTGTTGTCTTGGATTTGCTGTGTTGTAATCGTGAATCTTGAGATAATAGTCAGTGCAGCGAGCTCATCTCTTTCCTGAGCTCAACGTGGATGTAGCTTATCTTATAAGGATAAGTGAACCACGATAGAACTCCGTGTTCTTGATTTGATTGTGTGTATATGTTCGATATATTGTAGAATCTTTTTAGTTTGCATAACAATGGTATCAGAGCTGCCTTTGGAGTTTAGATTAGATGATTAAAGTCTTGGTGTCCTGATAGAAGATGATTTGTGAAAACTAGGTTTTCGGGAAATTTGGGGATTTTCTAAAATTGAGTTCTTTGAGTCTTCCAATGGATCTAAGGTTTCGGGATTTGAGTGAAATTTGTCAATCTTGACAAATCTTGGGAAAAATCTAGGGTTCTAGAAGTTGTATAAAGGTTAGGGCAAAAAGACCTAGGGTTTACAATTTGGGGCTTTCTAAAAATTAACCCTAAAAATGACCACTGCAACCACCACACTGTTGGAGATCAACCAATACGATGGAAAGATTGATTTCAGAAGCTGGAAGAAGAAGATGAAAACCCTCATTTCACACAACAAGGTCGCAATCGCACTGGAAAAGGACCCCAAGAAGTGGCCATAGGACAAATTAAGGAAGAAGGAAGAGATTGATGAAGAGGCCTACAACCTAATCGTGATGAACCTCTCGGACAGTGTGCTTCGAAAGGTAGATGGATTCGAAACTCCTCTTGGACTATAGGGTAAGCTAGAATCTTTATATGCTTTACAGTCTGCACCGAATCTTGCTTTTTTAAAGGGAGCTTTATTTTCGTATAAAATGGATAATTCAAAATCAATTGAGGAAAATTTGGATGAGTTTTTAAAAATGACTCTGATCTTGAAAGGCACAAACCAAGAGTTAGGAGAAACCAGCCTTGCCATGATATTGTTAAACTCACTACAGGAAGACTACCAAGTAGTCAAGAATGTCCTACAGTACTCGGGTACTGTACCCAGTGTAGATCTGATTATTGCTGGTCTTAAGGCTAGGGAGTTAGAGCTTAAAACCCTTAAGAGAAATAACAGTACACTGTTTGTAAGGGGTATAATAGAATCTGGCCAATCTAGTAAAGGAAACCAACATAGTCAGGGGGGTAAGAATAAGAAGAAATGGAAAGGAAATAGTAAGGCTAAGACTGAAACTAGGAAGTGTTTTTACTGTAACAAAACATGTCATTTAAAGAAAAACTGTTTTGACTAGAAGAAGAAACAAAAATTAGGAAACACTAAGAACAATTTGGCTACCACAAATAACCTAATAGATGAACTAGAAATCCTTACAATGTCAACATCTGACGCTACTAAGGAATGGGTGTTAGATTCAGGTTGCACTTTCCATATGAGCCCAAATAGGAGTTGGTTTCAAGACTTTGAAACTTCTGATCATGAGACAGTATTCATGGGAAACAACCAAGCCTATAGGGTTAAGGGAATAGGCAGCATAACCCTTAGGTTAAGTGGGGGAAAACTGATTAGACTAACCAAAGTGAGGTACATTCTCGATCTTAAGAGAAACCTCATATCCTTAGGTATTCTGATGAAGCAGGATGCTGCTATAGGGCTGACAATGGATGGTTAAATGTCTATAAAAATGAAAAGCTAATCTTAACAGGAGAAAAGAAAAATGGCCTCTATATTCTCTGTGGAAGCTTCTATTCTGAATGTAATAATACTACACTTGTTTCTTCAAATTTATCTGTGACTGAAAAGTGGCATTTGAGGATGGGTCATATGAGTCAAAGGGGGATGGATGTTCTAAATAGACAGGGGCAGTTTGGGAAAGACATTGTCACTACCTTAGAGTTTTGCGAGAACTGTGTCCTAGGTAAACAACATAGAAACAACCCTAAAGGAACTCACTTAGCTACTAATTGCCTTGACTACTTACATTCTGACTTATGGGGACCTGAAAGAGTAAAAACACATAGAGGAAACATTTATTTCCTCTCTATTGTAGATGATTACAGTAGGAAAGTATGGGTCTACTTGCTAAAGTCAAAGGATCAAGCTTTAGCTAGGTTTAAAGATTGGAAGGTGCTAGTTGAAAACCAGGTTGGTAGAAGGGTTAAGGCTTTGAGAACTGACAATGGGCTTGAGTTTTGTAACCTGGAGTTTGACAGATTCTATAGTGAACAGGGGGTCTTGAGGCATAGAACAGTGAGAAACACACCTCAGCAAAATGGGGTAGTTGAGAGAATGAATAGAACCCTGTTAGACAAGGTTAGGTGCCTACTAATAACTTCAAATCTTCCAAAAACTTTAGGGGGAGAGGCCCTCACTACAACAGCTTACCTAGTAAATAGGAGTCCTTCCACAGCCATAGGATTAGTCTATCCTGAAGAAAGGTGGTCTGGGAGAAAACCAGAGTTAGGCCACCTCAGAGTGTTTGGATGTACAGCTTATGCTCACACACAAAGAGGCAAACTAGAATCTAGATCCACTAGGTGTGTGTTCCCATGATACCAACTGTGGGATAGAGAGTCTCTAGGGGTTAGAATCATAGTAAGCAGGGATGTAGTGTTCAATGAGGGAGCCTTCCCTTGCAAAGAGACTAACCTTGATGCAAGCACATCCAAGAATATAGGAACTGAAACTGTTTAACCTAATGCTACTCAAATTGAGGTGGAGCCTACAGCTCAGCAACTTGATCCACCTCAAATGCAAGCACAGTAGTAACCTGGAGGGGAATCAAAACCTGGTGTAATTGATCAAGTTATAGATGATAAAGCTGAAGAGTTCCTGGAACCACAACAGGATGAATTATGAACTATCAGCTAGTTAGAGAAAGAACAAGGAGAGAGGTAAGACCACCTTCAAGATATTCATAAGCTGAATTGATTTATACTACTCTTCTTACAGGTACATAAGTTTTAAGGTCAGAACTTGAGACTTACCGAGAGGCTATGCAGTCCAGAGATAGGGACAAATGGAGAGAAGCCATAGAGGAGGAAATGCAATCCTTAAAGGTAAATGACACATGGTCTCTGGTTCCAAAACCAAGAGACTAAAAGCTAACTGAATGTAAGTGGCTCTTCAAACTAAAAGATGGTATTTTTATAGCTGACCCCCCTAGGTATAAAGCTAGATTTGTGGCAAAGGAGTATACCCAAAGGGAGGGTATAGACTTCAATGAAGTCTTCTCCCTTGTGGTTAAATACAAAACAATCATAATGATGTTGTCAGTTGTAGCTCACCATGACCTAGAACTTGAGCAGTTGGATGTCACCACTGCCTCTCTGGAAACCTAGAGGAACAGATTTATATGAGCCAGCCAATGTGTTTTGTTGACCCTAAGGCCCCAGACCATGCATGTCTCCTTAAAAAGTCATTATATGGCTTAAAACAGTCTCCTAGGCAGTGGTACAAGAGGTTTGACACATTCATAATGAGTATAGGGTTTACTAGAAGCCAATATGATATTTGCTTATACTTTAAAATGAATAATGACATGCCTATTTACTTACTCCTATACGTTGATGATATGTTGTTGATAAGTAAGTTTAAGTCCCAAATTAGTGATTTAAAGAAGAAACTCGGTTCTGAGTTCAGTATGAAAAACCTAGGGTGTGCCAAGAAAATACTAGGCATGGAGATAAATAGGAATAGAAGAAAAAGTGAACTAAGGCTGCACCAACAATCATACTTACTGAAGCTAGTCACAAAGTTTGGCATGGTAGGTGCCAAACTGGTCTTAATGCCCTTGGCAAGTCATTGTGGACTCAGTAAATCCCAATGCCCCAAAATTGAGGCAGATGTGTTGAAAATGGAGTCTGTCTCGTATGCTAATGTTATGGGATCCTTGATGTATGCAATGATAAGTACTAGGCCGGATTTAGCATTTGCCATTTCTATGTTAAGTAGGTATATGTCTAACCCTGGTATGGAGCATTGGACAACCTTGAAATGGATGTTAAAATACATAAATAATTATGTATGTGTTGGTTTTGAATATTGTAAAAGGAATTCTGCACTTGATTTGGTTGGGTTTGTACATGCTGATTTTGCAGGGGACAAAGATACCACAAAATCAACTACAACCTACTTCTTCACATTGGGTGGAAACTGTATAAGTTGGAAGTCTCAACTGCAGCCAATTGTGGCCTTTTCCTTAACTGAATCTGAGTATATTGCAATGACTGATGTGTTTAAGGAAGCGCTGTGGCTAAAGGGAATTCTAACAGAAGCCAACTTAATCAGTGGGAAGGTGACAGTTTACTCAGATAGTCAGAGTGATATACACCTGAGTAAGAATCTAGTGTACCACGAAAGAATTAAACATGTGGATGCCCGCTACCACTTTGTGAGAGATCTAATTACTAAACGGGTTATTGAGCTGAGGAAGGTTGCTACAGAGGAGAACCCAGTAGACATGGGCACCAAGATAGTCACTCCAGCAAAATTCAAGCATTGCTTGAATTTGCTGCTTGTAAAATAATCTGGAATGACAAGAGCCATGAGGGAATGGGACCGAGCGAGCTGCACAAAGGAAATGTTTTCTAGAGGTTCCAAGGTGGAGATTGTTGAAGTGGAAGCCTAAAAATAGTGTCGTTTTGGGTAAGTAGAACGACGTCGTTTCATACATGAGATCAATTGAATCCAGACCGCAGATTAGTCTTCAAATCCAACGGCCTCAATCCAGCCATCAGGTCAACCCTATATAAACTCAGCTGCTTTATTCGAAATAGAGATAGAGGCACTGTGATCTTCGATATCCTATTGAGAGTTAGGTTTTGTAAAGGGTTCATACTCAAGCTTGTGGAATCAGTAAAGTTTCGAGTGGTTAGAGGTTTCATCATTCTAGTGTGGGTGTTGTTCTCACAGATTAGAGTTTCCAGGTGAGTTACTGTAAGGGCTGATTACAGGATATATTGTATTAGGGTGGGTGTTTCTTTGTTGTCTTGGGTTTGCTGTGTTGTAATCGTGAATCTTGAGATAATAGTCAGTGCAGCGAGCTCATCTCTTTCCTGAGCTCAACGTGGATGTAGCTTATCCTATAAGGATAAGTGAACCATGGTAAAACCCTGTGTTCTTGATTTGATTGTATGTGTATGTTTGATATATTGTAGAATCCTTTTAGTTTGCATAACAACAGGTTTATTCAGATCCAAATTATTACATGAAACAGTAGAGCTCTTGTTTAAGCAAAGCACCTACTTTCCTGGACAGTTTTTATGAGCCTGTCATGGAGTGGAAAAGACGAGTCTGATTTTTAACATAAATCCAAGTGACAATAGATGATTCTACTGAACTAGAGTTCATCCTTGCGAGGACGTCTTGAGTTGTCTGAGTTCAACTTGACTGGATAGGAGGCTTCCAGAGTTATACCACACAGCCCTTCTTCGGCATTGATCTCTCGTTGCATTCTTAAATAACCCTTTTCTCCCCAGTCAGTTCCCCATGAATTCTTCACTATCCAATATTTTGTTCCATCTTGAGTTTCTCCATATCCTACAATAGCCACTCCATGATTCAGCTCTGTCCCACAGTCTCCATTGAATACTCCCTGCAATTAAATCACTCATGTTGTACATATATGATCAAAATGCTTGTACAATTAAAGAAATAATTGAAGACTAGAAAATGTGATTTGGGATTTATCTCTTGCTAACAGGAGCCTGAAAACTGTTACCTCTGAGTAGAATTGAAAATCCTTGCCACCAGCATCTATTGCAACTGCTACAGGTTGGTTTGCTACAGCTTTCATCAAGGAATTCTCATCACTTTCTGGTACCATTTCATAGCCATCAATAATCACTTCCGGGGCATTCTTCTGCAAGACGATAAGCGGTTTACGTATTAAGGTAGAGCCTCTGTTACTGACATTGTAATCTTATCTATTTTACAAGTTACTTACCTTAGGTAACTCACAGGATCCATCTCTGGCCGTATAAGGATAACTTTCCTCATTTGTTAATCCATCACTTTTTGCAATGAAGTCTAATGCTTGCTCCATTAATCCTCCGTCACAGCCATGGTTGTCTTTGTCGCAGTCAACCAGCTCTTGCTCAGACAACGACAATAACTGACCTGTTTTTATCTTGTTAATGCCCTCCACTGCAACTACAGTTGAAAATGCCCAACAGCTTCCTATAAAATTAACAATTTGCAGTAAATTTTAGGCAAAGGTTATGGATAATGGTGGAAACAAACTTGTAATTCAGGATGCGTTTCCCCTTGAGGAAGAGGGGGATTGCAAAGCTACAACAACTAAATGATACCATAAAATTGCCCGAAATGATTTAACAACATGAACTACACCTCGTTTTCAATTTATCATGACGTGGTGTTTTTTTGGCACATCAATAATTTTACCAGGCATATAGAATTTGCTGTTTTGAATAACTGTAATTGTCATCTTTGTGCAATCTGAAGCATTTCAGAGATGGAAACCGAGGAAGGAACAAAACATTATTGACAGTAATATTTCCTGGTTATGTATTTTAAATTGTAATCAAAGACTAAGAAAAGTCGTTCTTACCACATCTGCCTTGGTTCTTGACACCGGTGACTGCTCCATTCTTCCTCCAATCAACAGATGGAGGAAGATCGCTGGTCTTGGCATGCATGAACCCTGTGTTTCTCCGGGGACCATGTAACGTTCTGTGGTGGCTTACCTTTGAACTACGGGTGCTCAAAAACTCATGATTGGTCATATCGGCATACCTGTTGAGCTTCAACTTGTAAGGCTTATCCATTTGGTTCACCTTGTGAATATGCTTCAGATTCTGCTTGAACACATTGAAGCGCATTTGTTTTTCCTTCAGGTCGCGCGACAATGTGTCGTGGCTCCTCCATCTCTCATACAAGTCCCAGAGGCTCTCTTCGGAAGCCAAGTCACTCTCATGGTAATTAAAACTTTCGGCCAAACCAAAAACCAGAACCAGTTGCAAACCCACCAGTAAGAATTTTTTGGTATCCATCATGTGATGTTGAGTATTATGAATGTATAAACTAGATATACGGGAAATAAAGCTGTTTGATTTTTATCTAGTAATATAATCATGTCCTTATATAGAAGTATGGTGGGGACTGTAATCATAGCGTTTTAGAGCTTTAAACAGAAACCAAGGGGAAAAGCAAATGCCCTTTTCAAAGGTTATATCTATCTATCTATATTTAGAGATCGAATTTGTACAGTTTGTGTAATCTCTATAAAGCTAACATGATAACCATGTTGAGCTTGTTTTAACTTATTTGCAGAAGCTGACGAAATGATTTTGCTACCAGCCGACTTGAAACACGATTTCTTGCAAGTCCTTAGAAGTGCTCTAACTGCAAATCCTTTTGTTCAAAAAGTAGATAAACAGGTGTCAGCGGTAGACGAGTGTTTTGTTGAACCTGCATACCAAGGGTACAGCTCGACCAGATTAGACCGGAAGGTCAGTACTTGGTACTGAACCATGTCCAGAGAGACCATCATATCAATGTCAAATTCTGAATTTTACATTATATTTGGATCAAAACATCATAAACTTGATTTTGTTGACTACACTACCTTCACAAATCCTAGCTCTCTGTAAATGTATCGCGTATAAATTTGGAACTGCCAACATGATCAGTTTGGGGTTATTAGTTTATTACACAAATGGCGGTGTCATAGGACCACTTCATTATAGTAGTTATAACATCAGTAACCCTCTTGTGAACTGTGTTCAGATTTACCTTTTTCTTTCTGTCTCTCTTACAATAGGAATTCACCTGAAATTTAATGGATGGAGTTGTCCAAGTTCATCCCCGCTATCATTGGCCAACCATACACAATACTTTGATGGTGTGCAAACATCAAACACAAGTCATGAGTAAAAGCTTTCTATGAAAGGAAATGCTTGCATATTTGTCCATAGGTCAAATCGGATATGAAAAAGCTGGACTAACTGCAGGAGATTTCAACTGGTGGAATAACAGATAGCTGAGATTTCAACTTAAAGAATTTTCAACAAATGCAAGCAATTTGCCTGTCAAGGAACGTGCCAAATTACAGGAACTGTGGCTTGCTGGACCGCTTAAGATACATACAGTAAAGAGATGCTCAAGATGAATACTTTAACACAAGCTGGCATTCTTTCAAAACCTAATCAAATTCCTTAAGCACCTTTATGTGCCAATTACATTTGCAAGTACAGCGAATGATTTCAGATACTGGCTTACAATGAATAGCTTAAGAGCCCAACAAAACAAAAGTACCAAGATGTTTATGGTCCTCAAAGCAATAAACTAACTCAGTTTAAATTATTTACAATTCACTGGCCTTCTCAACATCTAATCAAATTCCCTTAAGCAGATTCACCATATCCAGTTACATTTGTAAAGCCGTTGACATAAATAAAAATCAATGAAGCAACAAAGGAAAACATGTCTAATAATGTAAATAAACCCTTTCTCAGACTTAGCAGAGTTTTATGCACTATCTCAGCAACAAACGGCTTTGAATGTTGCACAGATAGCTTGAGGGGAAAAGTAAACCAATACCAAACGCTGTTGATATAGTAGTATACTAAATATATCTTTATGCAATTGACTTTCATCTTCAATTCCATATATTTTTTTTCTTTCTTTTCAATTTCAGAAATCCCCTGATCAATCTTACAAGTTCAACAGATTTTGAACCTGGGAGTGGGGAATGCTGCTAACCCTACAGTCTTGATACAGTACAACTAAAAGGTTGCTGGGAAATGGTGAACCACAGTTAGCTTACAAAACAACGTATCAAGTCTCATCCAAACAAATTGTATTTTATTTGGAAGCAGAGGTGGTATGCTTTGCAGCCGACATGAACATAAACAATGTATACAAAATGCATATGAGGGAACTCCATGTTTTCTGTTGAGTCATTTGAACAACAAAACCCAGAGACTCAGAACATACCATAGAGCTCCGAAAACAGAAGTTCACTAATTAATTCTACGAAATTCACATAAAAATATTTTTCCAAGACAATGCCGCACCTCATTTAACAAATCATAGATAAAACTAGATGCAGTAAGAGTGTAAACTCATTGGGAAAATAAAAAGCTAATTAAACCACAAATTTCATCAGCTTTGATAACAATTATGGCATGAACTTACAGTACACATCATGCTTATGAGAAAATTCATCAATTGATAACAAAAAGAGCAACAATACAAACGGAATTACAGCGCATCCTTGTATTTGTTTTCTTTAAGTAGTTCTTCTCTCACTCTGCTGATCTCCGCTTCCTTTTCCAGCCTCTCTTTCTGAAACATCAAGACAAAAAAAATCAGTCAAACACGTAAATGTACACTGAAAACTCTAGGGTTTTTATCGAATTGGGAAAATGCAATGACATGAATCAAATGGGAAAATAACTTTGAAGGGAGATCTTATAAACTAACAGTAACAAGTCAAAGTACAAGTACAAGAAATTAATAATATTGATTGAGAAAAGAAAAGACGGCAGCCAAACCTTTTCGTCCTGATGGAGGGCGATCCAGACGTGGACTTTATCCATGGACTGCCAGAAGATGAAGGCTCCAAGTGTCATTGCAAAGTATGTCGCCACTTTCACCATCTCTGATTTTGAATTTGTTGATTATCGAGTTATCAATCTATCAGATTATCACACCTTTGCGAGGGATCGAGAAAATCAGGCTATTAAAGGTCGACGAAGAGTTATATGGTGCAGTGGATGTGCATTGACTATCATGAACCCTGCTTCCCACCCGTACACGAAGATCGTGCATAAATGGGTCTGCAGAGTACAAAACGAAGATTGGGCTTATTTGCCACAGTCCGGCCCATTTAGATAAATAAATTTTTCTCAGGAAAATTAACTTTCAGCACAAAGATGTGTTGGGAGTTTATGTAAAGGTGTCATTATCATAGATTCCGATTTGGTTTCCTTGTTCTTGGATTGAAGCTGAATACAAATCTTTGTTTAAAATGTTGATGTACCCTTTGGTGATTCGTGTCCCGTCCAACACTATTTTTCCGGCGACAAACAATAATTTAGCAACGCCGTTACCTACTAAACAAATAGAAAAGGGACACAACACGAACACTTCTGTCTCACATTGATGTTTGATGATGCCGACTTGTGGACTTGGCCCGCCGTGTAATTGGTTGACTGGTTCTTATCATAATCCCAAATTGCTGGTAGAAGCTTAGCTTGTAGGATCTCTGAAGCCTGGCTTTTTGTACCATGCTACTTAAAATCATAGATTCTCCATTGTTAACATGACTGATAGTGATAGATTACAGTTATGTTGAAATTTAACACAAAAGACAAGCACTTCTTAGACTCTTATCTAATTCCCAATTATCCAATCGGCTAAAGGGAAAAACCCCAAATCAATAGATTGAATCAAAAACTCACAGTGTGACAAGACCAGAGGATTACCTAAAGATGCCGGCTTAACTCGTGGCATTTTTTTTACTGTCCATATGGCATAAGAAGTTTGTGCAAGACAATAAGGATGGCACCTGTGCTACACCTCTAGTAATTTTTTCAATACATGCATAGTAACTCCGTAATATATATGCGTTATTTGATGTATAAATTAAGTTAATTTGTCTTTGTTTTCAACAAACTGAGAGGTAGAGAAGGTAACTCACAGAAGTGGAGGGGTGGAAGATCATTATTACTTGAAGATAGTAGGGATATGGGGACCGAAAGCAAAGGTGGGCTCTTTCGTTATGCTGATAGGACGGACAAATTGTTGCTGTTGTTTGGAATTCTGGGCAGCATGGGAGATGGGATGATGTCTCCACTTTCCATGTATGTGCTTAGCGGTGTTATCAACGAGCTTGGATCCTCTGATATCTCTGCCTCCAATGAGATCGTGGACAAGGTACTCAAATATTACATCAAATAGTGCATCTATTCTAATATAAAGAATATAAGTTTTATGGTAAAAAGTCAACTGAATTAGTGGCTAGTTCTACTAAATTTACATACCAAAATATATGGTTAACAAGCTGCCATTCATCCTGTATACAGTACACGCTCAGGCTGCTCTATGTTGCAATCTTAGTGGGAGTATCTGCTTTCATTGGTATGTATCTTTCTGATACTTTTCTTGTTATTTGGGTTCAGTTCATATCCAATTGGTCCTTTTCCAATTTCATAGCCCGTTGGCTCGTTAGAGAAACGGTGCTTAGACCTAGAGAAAACCAAAGGTGTCGTGTTTGCAAGACAAATGTGGTCCCTCAAATACAAAAGTTGTCATGCTGCACTCTGGCTTTCAAGTTGTTTGAGGTCTTAAAACTAGGCTGCCAAAACTTGCATGTAAAATAGTTTCGCCAAATATACATCAAGCACATGTCTCCTCTCATTCTTGGAATTTTATCAGAAAGGCTTTCGTTTTGCAGAAGGAGTCTGTTGGACAAGAACTGCAGAGAGACAGGCATCTCGTATGAGGGTGGAATACCTGAAATCAGTCCTCAGGCAAGAAGTCAGTTACTTTGACAACCAGACTGCTTCTTCCACTACCTTCCAAGTCGTCTCCATCATCTCCTCAGACGCTCATACAATCCAAGACACCATTGCCGAGAAAGTTATTAACTGTCGTCTCACGCTTTTTTGTTTTCTTTTCCCTCCTTGTTCTTATACTGACGGCATCTATTTTTCTGTTTGTAGATACCTAATACCCTAGCTCACCTCACATCATTCATCTTTTGCCTCGGAGTTGCATTTATACTCTCTTGGCGACTGGCACTGGCCGCCTTACCATTTTCACTCTTGTTTATCGTTCCAGGAGTTGTGTTTGGGACGGTACTTAAGAAATTAGGAGGGAAAGGCAAGGATGCTTATGACATCGCTGGTGGGATTGCAGAACAAGCAATATCATCAATTCGAACTGTCTATTCATATGTTGGGGAGAATCAAACACTAAACAGGTTTAGCCATGCTCTGCAGGAAAGAATGGAGCTTGGTATAAAACAAGGCTTCACTAAAGGATTGTTGATGGGGAGCATGGGAATGATTTATGCAGCTTGGGCTTTCCAGTCTTGGGTCGGAAGCGTCCTTGTTACTGAGAGAGGAGAAAAAGGTGGTGCTGTTTTTATTGCTGCGGTCTGTACGACAATAGGAGGAGTGTAAGTTGCTTGCATTCATGCCAGGAATTGTATGTAAGTACTACCTTGTATATAGTTATTTTCTAAAAACTGACAGGTTTCGTTTGTCCAGGGCAATTATGGGTGCGCTGCCCAATCTCTCTTTCATCTCCCAGGCAACCATTGCTGCCACGCGGATTTTTGAGATGATTGATCGAATTCCAGATATAAATTCTGAAGACGAAAAGGGGAAAATTCGAGCATATGTGAGAGGAGAGATAGAATTTAAAGAGGTTGACTTCAGTTACCCAACAAGACCTAATACCCCAATTCTTAAAGGATTCAATCTAAAAGTGCAAGCAGGTAAGACTGTGGGTCTTGTTGGAGGCAGTGGTTCTGGCAAGTCCACAGTAATATCTTTGCTTGAGAGATTCTATGATCCTGTCAACGGGAACATTCTCCTTGATGGACACCAAATAAAGAGGCTTCAGCTTAAATGGTTAAGATCCCATATGGGACTGGTTAATCAAGAGCCTATTCTTTTTGCAACATCAATAATGGAAAACATTCTGTTTGGGAAGGAAGGAGCTTCAATGGAAGAAGTTGTGAAGGCAGCTAAGGCTGCAAATGCCCATGACTTCATTGTTAAGTTAACAGATGGATATGAAACCAAGGTAAGCCAATGTTGTATGTTCTTAATCAAACAAATCAAATTGATTTTCTATTGCTACAATTGACTTGGTATACTTCAATCAGGTAGGGCAACTCGGAGTTCAGTTGTCAGGAGGTCAAAAACAAAGGATTGCGATTGCAAGGGCCTTAATAAGAGATCCAAAAATTCTCTTACTTGATGAAGCCACAAGTGCTCTGGATGCACAGTCTGAGAAAATAGTACAGGAAGCCTTGGACCAGGCTTCTCAAGGAAGGACAACAATTATTATAGCTCACCGTCTCACCACAATTCGTAAGGCTAATTTGATAACTGTACTTCAATCAGGAAGAGTGATCGAATCTGGTTCTCATGATGAGCTGATGCAAATGAACAATGGAGAAGGTGGGGCCTATAGCAAAATGGTGAAATTGCAGGGATCAGCAACGAGTAATCAAACAGAAGGTAGAAACCATATTAGCTTGATGAGAGCCCAGACTCCTCAGACACCACTCAGTGTGAGATCAAGTTATCAAAACAGCCCGGTCTATCCATTTAGCCCAGTATTTTCAATCGACATGGCACACTCCTTCCAAATGCATGGCTATGAAAACCAAAATGAAAAAAACATAAAGAATAATCCTGATTCTCCTTCTACCAAACTGCGTTTGCTGCAAATGAGTGTAACTGAATGGAAAAGAACTGTACTTGGGTGTGTAGGTGCTGCTGGTTCTGGAGCAATTAATCCAGTATATGCTTACTGCTTAGGATCAGTTGTCTCGGTTTACTTTCTTAAAGACAATTCCAGGATCAAATCAGAAACCAGAATGTATTGCTTCATCTTCTTAGGACTAACAGTTTTAAATTTCATCTCTCATCTCCTTCAACATTACAATTTTGCGATCATGGGAGAGCATTTAGTCAAAAAAGTGCGAGAGAAAATGCTTGGAAAAATACTCACCTTTGAAATTGGGTGGTTTGATCAGGACGAGAACACAAGCGCAGCAATTTGTGCACGACTAGCTAATGAAGCTAACATGGTTCAATCCTTCATTGCAGATCGGATGTCATTACTGATTCAGGTCTTCTTCAGTGCTTCGCTGGCTTTTACACTGGGATTGCTGGTTACATGGAGGATAGCCATTATTATGATTGCCATTCAGCCTTTAGTCATCGGGAGCTTTTACTCTAAAAGTGTTCTGATGAAAAGTATGTCAGAAAAAGCTCGGAAAGCACAAAATGAGGGAAGCCAACTAGCAAGTGAAGCTACCATTAACCACAGGACTATTACAGCCTTTTCCTCTCAGAACAGGATATTGGGTCTTTTCATAGAAACAATGAAAGGCCCAAAGAAGGAGAGCATCAAACAATCATGGTTTTCAGGAATTGGCTTGTTCACCTCCCAATTTCTCACAACAGCTTCTATAGCATTGGTTTACTGGTATGGAGGAAGGATAATGAATCAAGGATTGGTCACACCAACACACCTTTTTCAAGCATTCTTCATCCTGATGAGCACCGGCAAGAACATTGCAGATGCAGGGAGCATGACTTCTGATTTAGCAAAAGGAGGCAATGCCATCAAAACAATTTTTACAATTCTAGACAGGAGAAGTGAGATAGAACCTGAAGAGCCTAGAGGTAAGGAAGCTATAAAGGCTACATCCGGACACATAGAACTAAAGAATATATTCTTCTGTTATCCATCAAGACCTGACCAAATGATCTTCAGGGGCCTAAGTTTGAAAATTGGAGGAGGAAAAACAGTGGCACTTGTCGGACAAAGTGGGTCGGGAAAATCTACTATTATTGGGTTAATTGAAAGACTTTTCCAATTTCATAGCCGTTGGCTCGTTAGAGAAACGGTGCTTAGACCTAGAGAAAACCAAAGGTGTTGTGTTGCAAACAAATGTGGTCCCTCAAATACAAAAGTTGTCATGCTGCACTCTGGCTTTCAAGTTGTTTGAGGTCTTAACTAGGCTGCCAAAACTTGCATATAAAATAGTTTCGCCAAAAAATACATCAAGCCACTCTCCTCTCATTCTTGGAATTTTATCAGAAAGGCTTTCGTTTTGCAGAAGGAGTCGTTGGACAAGAACTGCAGAGAGACAGGCATCTCGTAGGGTGGAATACCTGAAATCAGTCCTCAGGCAAGAAGTCAGTTACTTGACAACCAGACTGCTTCTTCCACTACCTTCCAAGGTCTCTCCATCATCTCCTCAGACGCTCATACAATCCAAGACACATTGCCGAGAAAGTTTTAACTGTCGTCTCACGTTTTTTGTTTTCTTTTCCCTCCTTGTTCGTATACTGACGGCATCTATTTTTCTGTTTGTAGATACCTAAACCCTAGCTCACCTCACATCATTCATCTTTTGCCTCGGAGTTGCATTTATACTCTCTGGCGACTGGCACTGGCCGCCTTACCATTTTCACTCTTGTTCGTTTCAGGAGTTGTGTTTGGGACGGTACTTAAGAAATTAGGAGGGAAAGGCAAGGATGCTTATGACATCGCTGGTGGGATTGCAGAAACAAGCGTATCATCAATTCGAACTGTTCTATGTTGGGGAGAATCAAACACTAGACAGGTTTAGCCATGCTCTTCAGAAAGAATGGAGCTGGTATAAAACAAGGCTTCACTAAAGGATGTGGAGGGGAGCAGGGAATGATTTATGCAGCTTGGGCTTTCCAGTCTTGGGTCGGAAGCGTCCTTGCCTGTCTGATCAATCTTACAAGTTCAACAGATTTTGAACCTGGGAGTGGGGAATGCTGCTAACCCTACAATCTTGATAGACAGTACAACTAAAAGGTTGCTGGGAAATGGTGAACCACAGTTAGCTTACAAAACAACGTATCAAGTCTCATCCAAACAAATTGTATTTTATTTGGAGGCAGAGGTGGTATGCTTTGCAGCCCACATGAACATAAACAATGTATACAAAATGCATTTGGGGGAACTCCATGTTTTCTGCTGAGTCATTTGAAAAACAAAACCCAGAGGCTCAGAACATATCATAGCGCACCGAAAACAGAAGTTCACAGATTAATTCTACGAAATTCACATAAAAATATTTTTCCAAGACAATGCCGCACCTCATTTAACAAATCATAGATAAAACTAGATGCAGTAAGAGTGTAAACTCATTGGGAAAATAAAAAGCTAATTAAACCACAAATTTCATCAGCTTTGATAACAATTATGGCATGAACTTACAGTACACATCATGCTTATGAGAAAATTCATCAATTGATAACAAAAAGAGCAACAATACAAACGGAATTACAGCGCATCCTTGTATTTGTTTTCTTTAAGTAGTTCTTCTCTCACTCTGCTGATCTCCGCTTCCTTTTCCAGCCTCTCTTTCTGAAACATCAAGACAAAAAAAATCAGTCAAACACGTAAATGTACACTGAAAACTCTAGGGTTTTTATCGAATTGGGAAAATGCAATGACATGAATCAAATGGGAAAATAACTTTGAAGGGAGATCTTATAAACTAACAGTAACAAGTCAAAGTACAAGTACAAGAAATTAATAATATTGATTGAGAAAAGAAAAGACGGCAGCCAAACCTTTTCGTCCTGATGGAGGGCGATCCAGACGTGGACTTTATCCATGGACTGCCAGAAGATGAAGGCTCCAAGTGTCATTGCAAAGTATGTCGCCACTTTCACCATCTCTGATTTTGAATTTGTTGATTATCGAGTTATCAATCTATCAGATTATCACACCTTTGCGAGGGATCGAGAAAATCAGGCTATTAAAGGTCGACGAAGAGTTATATGGTGCAGTGGATGTGCATTGACTATCATGAACCCTGCTTCCCACCCGTACACGAAGATCGTGCATAAATGGGTCTGCAGAGTACAAAACGAAGATTGGGCTTATTTGCCACAGTCCGGCCCATTTAGATAAATAAATTTTTCTCAGGAAAATTAACTTTCAGCACAAAGATGTGTTGGGAGTTTATGTAAAGGTGTCATTATCATAGATTCCGATTTGGTTTCCTTGTTCTTGGATTGAAGCTGAATACAAATCTTTGTTTAAAATGTTGATGTACCCTTTGGTGATTCGTGTCCCGTCCAACACTATTTTTCCGGCGACAAACAATAATTTAGCAACGCCGTTACCTACTAAACAAATAGAAAAGGGACACAACACGAACACTTCTGTCTCACATTGATGTTTGATGATGCCGACTTGTGGACTTGGCCCGCCGTGTAATTGGTTGACTGGTTCTTATCATAATCCCAAATTGCTGGTAGAAGCTTAGCTTGTAGGATCTCTGAAGCCTGGCTTTTTGTACCATGCTACTTAAAATCATAGATTCTCCATTGTTAACATGACTGATAGTGATAGATTACAGTTATGTTGAAATTTAACACAAAAGACAAGCACTTCTTAGACTCTTATCTAATTCCCAATTATCCAATCGGCTAAAGGGAAAAACCCCAAATCAATAGATTGAATCAAAAACTCACAGTGTGACAAGACCAGAGGATTACCTAAAGATGCCGGCTTAACTCGTGGCATTTTTTTTACTGTCCATATGGCATAAGAAGTTTGTGCAAGACAATAAGGATGGCACCTGTGCTACACCTCTAGTAATTTTTTCAATACATGCATAGTAACTCCGTAATATATATGCGTTATTTGATGTATAAATTAAGTTAATTTGTCTTTGTTTTCAACAAACTGAGAGGTAGAGAAGGTAACTCACAGAAGTGGAGGGGTGGAAGATCATTATTACTTGAAGATAGTAGGGATATGGGGACCGAAAGCAAAGGTGGGCTCTTTCGTTATGCTGATAGGACGGACAAATTGTTGCTGTTGTTTGGAATTCTGGGCAGCATGGGAGATGGGATGATGTCTCCACTTTCCATGTATGTGCTTAGCGGTGTTATCAACGAGCTTGGATCCTCTGATATCTCTGCCTCCAATGAGATCGTGGACAAGGTACTCAAATATTACATCAAATAGTGCATCTATTCTAATATAAAGAATATAAGTTTTATGGTAAAAAGTCAACTGAATTAGTGGCTAGTTCTACTAAATTTACATACCAAAATATATGGTTAACAAGCTGCCATTCATCCTGTATACAGTACACGCTCAGGCTGCTCTATGTTGCAATCTTAGTGGGAGTATCTGCTTTCATTGGTATGTATCTTTCTGATACTTTTCTTGTTATTTGGGTTCAGTTCATATCCAATTGGTCCTTTTCCAATTTCATAGCCCGTTGGCTCGTTAGAGAAACGGTGCTTAGACCTAGAGAAAACCAAAGGTGTCGTGTTTGCAAGACAAATGTGGTCCCTCAAATACAAAAGTTGTCATGCTGCACTCTGGCTTTCAAGTTGTTTGAGGTCTTAAAACTAGGCTGCCAAAACTTGCATGTAAAATAGTTTCGCCAAATATACATCAAGCACATGTCTCCTCTCATTCTTGGAATTTTATCAGAAAGGCTTTCGTTTTGCAGAAGGAGTCTGTTGGACAAGAACTGCAGAGAGACAGGCATCTCGTATGAGGGTGGAATACCTGAAATCAGTCCTCAGGCAAGAAGTCAGTTACTTTGACAACCAGACTGCTTCTTCCACTACCTTCCAAGTCGTCTCCATCATCTCCTCAGACGCTCATACAATCCAAGACACCATTGCCGAGAAAGTTATTAACTGTCGTCTCACGCTTTTTTGTTTTCTTTTCCCTCCTTGTTCTTATACTGACGGCATCTATTTTTCTGTTTGTAGATACCTAATACCCTAGCTCACCTCACATCATTCATCTTTTGCCTCGGAGTTGCATTTATACTCTCTTGGCGACTGGCACTGGCCGCCTTACCATTTTCACTCTTGTTTATCGTTCCAGGAGTTGTGTTTGGGACGGTACTTAAGAAATTAGGAGGGAAAGGCAAGGATGCTTATGACATCGCTGGTGGGATTGCAGAACAAGCAATATCATCAATTCGAACTGTCTATTCATATGTTGGGGAGAATCAAACACTAAACAGGTTTAGCCATGCTCTGCAGGAAAGAATGGAGCTTGGTATAAAACAAGGCTTCACTAAAGGATTGTTGATGGGGAGCATGGGAATGATTTATGCAGCTTGGGCTTTCCAGTCTTGGGTCGGAAGCGTCCTTGTTACTGAGAGAGGAGAAAAAGGTGGTGCTGTTTTTATTGCTGCGGTCTGTACGACAATAGGAGGAGTGTAAGTTGCTTGCATTCATGCCAGGAATTGTATGTAAGTACTACCTTGTATATAGTTATTTTCTAAAAACTGACAGGTTTCGTTTGTCCAGGGCAATTATGGGTGCGCTGCCCAATCTCTCTTTCATCTCCCAGGCAACCATTGCTGCCACGCGGATTTTTGAGATGATTGATCGAATTCCAGATATAAATTCTGAAGACGAAAAGGGGAAAATTCGAGCATATGTGAGAGGAGAGATAGAATTTAAAGAGGTTGACTTCAGTTACCCAACAAGACCTAATACCCCAATTCTTAAAGGATTCAATCTAAAAGTGCAAGCAGGTAAGACTGTGGGTCTTGTTGGAGGCAGTGGTTCTGGCAAGTCCACAGTAATATCTTTGCTTGAGAGATTCTATGATCCTGTCAACGGGAACATTCTCCTTGATGGACACCAAATAAAGAGGCTTCAGCTTAAATGGTTAAGATCCCATATGGGACTGGTTAATCAAGAGCCTATTCTTTTTGCAACATCAATAATGGAAAACATTCTGTTTGGGAAGGAAGGAGCTTCAATGGAAGAAGTTGTGAAGGCAGCTAAGGCTGCAAATGCCCATGACTTCATTGTTAAGTTAACAGATGGATATGAAACCAAGGTAAGCCAATGTTGTATGTTCTTAATCAAACAAATCAAATTGATTTTCTATTGCTACAATTGACTTGGTATACTTCAATCAGGTAGGGCAACTCGGAGTTCAGTTGTCAGGAGGTCAAAAACAAAGGATTGCGATTGCAAGGGCCTTAATAAGAGATCCAAAAATTCTCTTACTTGATGAAGCCACAAGTGCTCTGGATGCACAGTCTGAGAAAATAGTACAGGAAGCCTTGGACCAGGCTTCTCAAGGAAGGACAACAATTATTATAGCTCACCGTCTCACCACAATTCGTAAGGCTAATTTGATAACTGTACTTCAATCAGGAAGAGTGATCGAATCTGGTTCTCATGATGAGCTGATGCAAATGAACAATGGAGAAGGTGGGGCCTATAGCAAAATGGTGAAATTGCAGGGATCAGCAACGAGTAATCAAACAGAAGGTAGAAACCATATTAGCTTGATGAGAGCCCAGACTCCTCAGACACCACTCAGTGTGAGATCAAGTTATCAAAACAGCCCGGTCTATCCATTTAGCCCAGTATTTTCAATCGACATGGCACACTCCTTCCAAATGCATGGCTATGAAAACCAAAATGAAAAAAACATAAAGAATAATCCTGATTCTCCTTCTACCAAACTGCGTTTGCTGCAAATGAGTGTAACTGAATGGAAAAGAACTGTACTTGGGTGTGTAGGTGCTGCTGGTTCTGGAGCAATTAATCCAGTATATGCTTACTGCTTAGGATCAGTTGTCTCGGTTTACTTTCTTAAAGACAATTCCAGGATCAAATCAGAAACCAGAATGTATTGCTTCATCTTCTTAGGACTAACAGTTTTAAATTTCATCTCTCATCTCCTTCAACATTACAATTTTGCGATCATGGGAGAGCATTTAGTCAAAAAAGTGCGAGAGAAAATGCTTGGAAAAATACTCACCTTTGAAATTGGGTGGTTTGATCAGGACGAGAACACAAGCGCAGCAATTTGTGCACGACTAGCTAATGAAGCTAACATGGTTCAATCCTTCATTGCAGATCGGATGTCATTACTGATTCAGGTCTTCTTCAGTGCTTCGCTGGCTTTTACACTGGGATTGCTGGTTACATGGAGGATAGCCATTATTATGATTGCCATTCAGCCTTTAGTCATCGGGAGCTTTTACTCTAAAAGTGTTCTGATGAAAAGTATGTCAGAAAAAGCTCGGAAAGCACAAAATGAGGGAAGCCAACTAGCAAGTGAAGCTACCATTAACCACAGGACTATTACAGCCTTTTCCTCTCAGAACAGGATATTGGGTCTTTTCATAGAAACAATGAAAGGCCCAAAGAAGGAGAGCATCAAACAATCATGGTTTTCAGGAATTGGCTTGTTCACCTCCCAATTTCTCACAACAGCTTCTATAGCATTGGTTTACTGGTATGGAGGGAGGATAATGAATCAAGGATTGGTCACACCAACACACCTTTTTCAAGCATTCTTCATCCTGATGAGCACCGGCAAGAACATTGCAGATGCAGGGAGCATGACTTCTGATTTAGCAAAAGGAGGCAATGCCATCAAAACAATTTTTACAATTCTAGACAGGAGAAGTGAGATAGAACCTGAAGAGCCTAGAGGTAAGGAAGCTATAAAGGTTACATCCGGACACATAGAACTAAATAATATATTCTTCTGTTATCCATCAAGACCTGACCAAATGATCTTCAGGGGCCTAAGTTTGAAAATTGGAGGAGGAAAAACAGTGGCACTTGTCGGACAAAGTGGGTCGGGAAAATCTACTATTATTGGGTTAATTGAAAGATTTTACGACCCGCAAAGTGGAGTAGTTTTGATAGATGAATGTGACATCAAGAACTACAACTTGAGAAGTTTGAGGTTACGTATTGCGTTAGTAAGTCAGGAGCCGACACTTTTTGCAGGAACTATCCGCGAGAATATTACTTACGGTAAAGAGGATGCTACAGAAGCTGAAATAAGGAAGGCTGCAACTCTAGCCAATGCTCACGAATTTATAAGGTAGTCTCCTCTCTGACAGAGTTATAAATGTACAACAGAAACACTACTTTTCTTTGTGGTGACACATATTTATTTGAATTTTGATGTGCAGTTCCATGAAAGATGGTTATGAAACGTACTGTGGAGAAAGAGGAGTTCAGCTGTCTGGAGGGCAGAAGCAGAGGATTGCCCTTGCTCGAGCAGTATTGAAGGATCCGATGATTTTACTTTTGGATGAGGCGACGAGTGCACTTGACAATGTGTCAGAGAATCTTGTCCAGGAAGCATTGGAGAAGATGATGGTTGGGAGAACATGTGTAATTGTAGCTCACAGATTGTCCACAATACAGAAGGCAGACACCATAGCTGTGATAAAGAATGGGAAGGTTGTGGAACAAGGGTCGCACTCCAATCTACTAGCCACAGGGACTGGAGCCTACTACTCTCTAATTAAGCTACAAGGTAGTAACTCTCCTTACAGGTGAAACACTGCGATAGTCAGCTGAAATTTTATTTGAATGTGTAATAGTTTCTTCATTTTTGTTGAGTATGCAACATTTCCTTAAAGAATTAAGCTGGATTTGACATGAAATGTCAGAAACTTCATGGAAATTAACACTTGGAAGGAAAAAAATGTTGAGAAAGAATTGTGAGAATAAATTTTCCATAATGGGTCCATAGCAGCACGGGAAATCAGAAGAATAAAATTCATCTCTCCAAAGCAAAACTAAAGTGTGATTTCTTGGACAGCAATGCTTTGTATAAGCCCTAAAGAATCAAGCTCTAGTAAACAATGGCCCTGTAGGAACCTAAACAAACTAAGATACGAGAACAAATGCTTTCAGTATTCTATGATCCTTCTTTCTATTTTGTCTTTATTTCCTAACTTTGTAACATGTTAGAAGAGGTTTGACTTTGATAACTAGAATCAGTATCACTCGAAAAACCATACACCATCAGTAGTTAGCTATGTGCAACAAGCCCATCACCCATACAGAGACATAGTTATGTGGTGGGGTGCGGGCAATACAGGATGATACTTCCATATACATCTCAGTTTGGGCAGGCCTTGGCCTAATATTGCCAATCCGAAGCTCGTGGCCCAAATTAAAACCAATCTATCGGTCACCTCTTTGTCTAGGGTGGAAAAAATTTGCCACGTCTTTCTATTATTCATTTCGAAGATTAAACTGAAACTAAAAATCTAAATCGTAATATGCTAGTTAAATTCCTCAGTAATATTGCAAGCTAAATTATGAGATCTCTGTTAATTGTATGACAAAACAAAAAAACTTTATGCATAACATATGTTTTTAATATGTTTTATATATGTTTGAAACTTATTGTTGAATTTATTAATGAGTAGTCGCAATTTATCAGGTGAGATCTATTGTAAGCTGACCAATTATGAACTGTCACATTAGGATTGTGAGAAAAAAATTGTAAATGTAGTATTTTTGAAAAAGTAAATGTATTGTAAATGCAAAATTATAATTAGTAAGGCCATTGACGCATAAGCAATCATAATAGTTCGAATACAAAGTTCTCTTAGGAGAACAAGAGTTTATCTTCTTTTGCAAAAGATCTTATGATCTTCTCTTTTGTTTCTTAACTTCATTTCTTAGTTTTTTTGTGAATGAATTTTATTTTCAGTTGTATTGTGTCTCAATAAGCAATATTTAAAACATGATTATGTGGTTGCTTTTGTTATAGTTTGTTTAAGCTAACAAAATAATATATGATCTAAGCTGTCTATGATTGTTTATTTGCTTTTCAGTGTATGGATGTAAATATTATATACTCTAATTTATAAGCAATCCAAACTATAATAAATCAATCATCAAAGCTTGTGAATTCTTTAATGCTTCAAATATATTTGGAGTTTATGGTTGGATTTATTATTCAGTAGCGAAAATACATTCACATTTCTTTTAATACAACAAAAAACATTCTTAAATTTATAAATACATTTCTAATATTGAATTCAAATACTAAAATAATGAAAGGAAAATTGTTTGTTTAGTTATTTAATTGTAATAATATTTGTTAGACTGGGTATAACAAATATTATGTGTTGGGTGTAAATGGTATCAGAGCTTTGGAAGACGGGGGGTATGTGTTTATACCTGTTAACCTGTTGAAAGTTCTTGGTAGCATGAATAATGGTTCGAATGATGAAGTCTGTATGAATAAGACTTGTTTTCATTTGGATCATGGAATCGAGGTAAAACCAGAAATCGGTTTGTTAAATACCGTCGTAGATAAGTTAGAGCTTTTGACCCAGAAGCTTGAAAACTTAGATAGGAGAGTGAATTATACGATGTATCGTATATTTACTCTAAACGAAGAATTAACCCAGATTGGAAATCAAATTGAAAAGGTTAATTCTGTACTTCAAAAGGTTAAAACACTGGAACGTGTTCTAACTATTTTACTGAGCCAGTAAGATAGGAGATGTCTCTGGTTTTAAGTGGCATCGAACAAGTGTGACCTATTGAAGGATATACTGAACAAGAGGTTAAACGGGTTGTGTTAGACCTTTGTAACGGCAACCCCGATATTCGAGAAGAGTATCTGACTTGGCTAGGTGTTAAGCGACTTTTGCATGTTATTCAAAAGGCTTTTAGTCAAGCGTGCACAAAGATTTTGTGTTTTATTTGCCGGATTTCCACCATTGAAGTCTTTGAGCTACAACTTCGGAATAAGTGGTTAGAAAAGGCTGAGGCGGTAATTCCTTATTGGTACGGTGAATCCCAGCCGGATCTAGATCCCAAACCTTATAAAGAGTCGGACTTTGCAACTGAGTTGAGACCTGATTTAGATTGACCATGGGTGGTCAGGATGTTTTGGATCAGTTCGCGGCTAGTTTGTAGGAAAAATATCCTGGATTGCCTCCAGGATATGCACAGTTCGTGGCCAAAGAAACCCAAGGTGATTGGGAAAAGGCGGAAAAACTCTTTATGAAAGGTGTTAAGGAAGAAGACTTTGTTTCTAAAGTAGATGGAAAACGGAAGGTTGATATTCCGGAAATTTCTACCTCAGATGCTGAGCGAATCAGCAGGTATTATGAGGAAGAAATGAAGAAACAAAGGAAAGGAGAAGAAACTAGAGGATTAAAATCGACTCCAGGTCCAGGTCCTAAAAAGGCAGAGCTCGATGAGCTAATCTCGAGACTCAGGGAATCTGAGTTTAAAGATGATCCCTTGAAGGAATTCGTAATCCTTTAAATTCTTTCGAAGGATTTCTTAAGGAAATCTCCAAACCCGAATACAAACAAACTTATCCCACAAAGATAAGGTCGGAGTTTGTACCTAGGGGAATACCTAGAATGGTGGAGATACCGTCTAGCGGAAGTTTCCTAAATATCGATTGTGTTACAAATGTAAGGGATGCGATCGAGGCATGGGAAACTGTTAACTGGGTTCATATCCAAAACAAGAATTTTGGACTCAGTGATACTTACAAGTTTCTAAGATCCACACTGCAAGGCGCTGCAGGAAGCTTTTGGAGAAGTCTAGAAGCTGGTACGGATCTGTTAGATACTGTAAGGGACTTGAAGAATGCAGAATCTATTTTTGCTCTCTTCAAGGATATGCTCTGTAGAGAATTTACTGGGATAACAATTACCCGTAGGAATCTCGCGAAGGTAGTTGCCTTAGAAGCTTTGACAAAGTTTAGGCTTTGTGACATGTGTTTGTTTTAAAATTTTGTTTGTGATTATAGATGATATTTTTATCAGTTGCCTGGTGGTACACAGGAAGTCATGAAGAATACTTTCTTTGCTAAGCTTCCCCAAGGATGGGATAAGGCAGCAAACGAGGCGTTTAAGCTTTTACTCGAAAAGAATCAGGTAGTTGATTATTTAGGAGGAAGAATAAAAGCTGTTAGACAACTCGTGAGGACAAGATGTTTGAACGCCGAGCTGAATAAGGAAGCTAAAAGGCTTGAGTTCAACGAATCTTGTTGTCAAAACTTTGATGGAGTGCTAGGACAATATGGCTATGAGTCGAGGAGTTCGACTAAACATCAAGGTTGGAAAAACCATATGAAACGAAAAGGATTGTTCGGTAAAAGGAACTTTAAGCCGAAACGTTTTCGTAATATGGTAAAATGACCTGTTACTAATAAACGGAATCTTCCAGATCACGGAAGGTTTATTAGGCACACAGGGAAATGTAGACTTAACGTTAAGGAATGCGGAGCGCATAAGTTTTGTGCTACCTGCCCATCTGGCAAGAATGCAAAAGATTGTAATTGTTGCTGGATTTGTGGTGACAAAAATCATTTTGCGGATAAATGCCCTCATAAGGGTAAGAAGAAGGCAGCGGTAAGATTTTTGGAAATCAACGCGGAAAGCCAAACTTCTGAATTTGAGTCAGTTTGGGGGTACGAAATTAATTCAGATGATGAAGTTTATGAATTAGTTTCGGATTACCCTGATGATTCAGATTCTTCAGAGGATGACTCAAAAGACATGACTTTTGAGGAACAATCTTCAAATCTCCAACGCATAGGTATATTCATGCAAAAGTCTAGGAGTCTTAATGAATATCCTAGGAATAGCGGTATTGGTGATGAGGATGATCTTATCCTAATTAGAAATGAAGATGAAAACCCTAACTCAGTAATTAGTTCATCATCTAATTACAAGGATCACTCGGGTAACCTGGAGACTTGGGTAATTCCGAGGTTAACACCTAGAGAAGTTTTTGAAAAACGCTCTAAGTGGTTCTTCAAAGCTGAAGGCTTGGAAGATGTACACAAAAAACCTGTTCGTGTAGCATTATCTCAGTCTCGAGAGGGTGAATTAATACTCTCAGACAATGAGTGGCTACAGAAGGTTAGAAGTCTTGCCAAAAGGGCAAATGGCAAGTATAACTATGTACAACTTGGTGCTGTACAAATTCATGTGCAGGGACTATTCTGTGGAGGAATGAATGTACTTGTTCAGGTTGCCTTACTAGACAGACGATGGCTTACGTTTGGTAAAGCTCTAGTTGGCGGTTTTCACGCTAATTCAGCTTTAGGAGATGCCTACAGGACTGTTAAACCAGGTTATATGGTTAGTCTTATGGATCCAAACCTTAAACGGATTATGGTTCTTCGAATTCATACTTCGGGATTAGAAGACTTGATGGCTTCTAGTGACGGAATAGCAATTCAGTATAGGTTGATTTATTATTTGATAAATTCTGTTAATCCTATACGAATGAACTCTGGTGCAGATACGGAGGTTCATGGCCCGGGACAGGATTCTGTAATTCCAATTCGACCTACAGTAATCAATTCTAAGGCTCTTACGTGGCCAAAACGATGGGTTTTAGACTATTCACCGCAGCCCAGCGTGGTGAAATTAAACCCAAATCGGGGAATTCAAATCCAGGAACCTGATAATGAGGTTGAGGTTACTCTCCCTACGCCTAGAAACTCGGAGTCTCTAGAGTAGAATAAAGAGGTTCAGCCCATCATATCAAGGAAAAATATA